ATTTTTATGTAATAAAGTATTTAACATGTAGAATGACTTAATTTACAAAATTAATTTTAATTATATTTTAGTTTAGATACCTACATGGAATTCAATTATGGGGTTTAGCAAAGTTCTCTAGTACTATACTACTATAACTCTTCAAGCATTTCAATCAATATGTTTGTGTCGGCCGCCTACGCACGAGTTAGTTCTCGGGTGGTTTACTGGTTTACAGGTGAAATACGAATTGTTTTAATAAACTTTAATTCTAATAAGAAAACCAGGTTAAAATTAAATTTTTAAACTATATAGTCGAATTACACGAATTATATTATACGGTAAAACCTGACTAATATGGAAACAACTAGGACCAGATATAATTTTTAAATTTAATACAGGTTGTAAAATTTATTTTATATTTATATACTAAATATTATTGCATTATACCTATTTTTTAATATAATTGAGATTTTTATGAAAATTGAAAAAAAGTGAGCAAATAAGTGCTTCTTTGCTCTATATTAAACGATGCTAAGTGCTGACGATGAGTGGGACACAATATAATGTGTTAAATTTGAATTAAATTATAAAGGTACCGTTGTAAACGAAAAATGATTTTTTGAGGAGACGGTTTGTTAACTTATATTAATTCACGGTATGATTTTTAATATTATGATAGTTACTCGTATTTATTTTACTATTAATATTATGGTATGTTGATTCGTATAAAAATAAATACAGTTATTATTTATTATTTATGGGTACATGTATCTAATGTCATAAACATTTTAACTTAAAACTGTGACGTATGTGATTTTCTGGTAAAATTTATTTTTGCTATAGATTGAAATACTAGTGAAGAATATTATATTAAATTTATAAATGTTTGAAATAAAAAAAAAATTTTCTTATGAGTTTCTAATTACAAAATAATTTATACATTTTTGAAATTTTGTATTTAATTTTAAAGTTTAAACGTTTATAAAAATAACCGTGACTATACATTTTCGATATTTTGTAATTATTAAATGAACAACCTCCCATTAAAATTTCAACAATTTTTACTCAGCAACATATATTTTATTGATACTTATGTATAGAAAAACTAAAAAAAATTATAATTTAATTTTTCTATTAATAGCTCAAAAATAGTCATATTATTTTAAAAATTTTATTATGCGTAAGAATCATTAGTATAACCATTCTGCAGAAATTTAAAATATCCAAAATTATTCATATTTTAGTTATACTAAAAAAACAAGTTTATCAATAACATAGTATTCCTATTTTCTTTTAATTTTTTGTTTGTTTTTCTGATTATTTTGAAAAATACTAGGAATTTTTTACTTCGGTTTCTTTAATGTATGAACTACATTCAATATCCTATCCAAAACTGTCTTCGAAGTTGAAAATTGAACTTTTTTCTAATAATTACTTATCTACGTATGTAAAAAACACACATCATTGTAAACTCAATTAATTTATCGCTTCACTTAAAATCTAAAATTATTATTATACCTATACCTAATATTTCTAAATGTTATTACATACTCCTCCAATGTTTTTCGTTTTCTTATATAATTTGCTCTTTTAAATTATACAATTCTAGAATTTTATATTTATTTTGATAGTTAAGCATAAGCTTATCATTTATAAATTATTTTTTATATCATTTTTTTGGTCTACTACCTATATCTTGTAATTGATATTTTTCATAAATTTTTATGAGATCAATCTGATCATATGAAGCTCAAACTTCAGGTTGTGCTAAACCAACGCAACTAAAAACAATCGAAGTTTTCCAATGAAATTTCTTCCATATAGCCATGTCTGTCTCCTGAAGGTATGTTTCAAATAACACCCTTCACAAAGACTTATATATTGAATCAGTTGAAAATTCAGTTAAAACTTGCTTTAAAAAGTGCCACTTATAATTAATTTATGATTTTATTATTCAAATCCTTTAGTCAAAAAACAGACACAGCATCAACTTCTGACAACCCCTTTCGCCGTCTTAAAAGACGTTGGTGTCGTGATTTTTCAGTTTGAAACATCGTCATGTATTCGGTTTTTAGTTGAATCTTGCCAAAAGGGTTTTATCACTGAATAGCTTCCCTACTTACAGTGTCTAGGTCTATTTATCATTGATTTTTTAACCTATTTTGCTTATTGTAATTTTGTTTTTAATGTATAGATTAGGTTATTTTTATGTAAAAATGAATAAGAATCCAAACATTAAAGCGTTACACATCTACACGGGCCACACAGGCTACACAGCTACATAATACAGTCACATTTATGAAATACTATAGTATCTTACATATTAATTTTACGTTGTGTATTCTTAACACAAAGCGGTATTGTTTTCAATATTAGAGATGATTTCATGATATTTGTTTGTTATCTCTCCATCACCAAGTCATATAATATTTCATCACTTTTCCATTAGGTGACCGTTTGTTGTACTATATTTTTTATATACATAGTAATAAAAAACTTTCAAATAATTATAATTCACCTACTTAAAATTATTTGTGTTTTAGCTTACGTCGGTTAGGTTAATTTTTCAATGTATTTATTATTTTTAAATGAGATAATTATTACTGACTTTAAAATTAATAATATCAACAATCTATTCTAATAACTTACAAGACAGTGATAAATGATGATAATGTTTTTTATATTTTTATGTTTGATACTTTGTTAATACTTAAATCTAAAGAATTTCTGTAGTATAAAAAACAACAAAAATTAATAAATTAGAAATGAGAAATGTAATTTAGTATGTCATATTTAAACAGAGATAATGAATAAGTATGTGAACTGTAAGTCTTCATCTTTCAGAGGACTATATTTAAAACTTTAACACCACGGGGCACTATGAAACATTGTCCTTTTTTTTAAGGGGTGAATGTAGGGTTGCTATAATTAATTTTATTTAAACCAAGGTAAAAACTTTTTTTGAAAAAAATTTTACCACTTCACTACAGTTGATAACATATCCTATTTGTTCATATCTAAAATACCATACACAAATAATTCGTGATCATCTTTAAGTTTATAAAGTAAAAATTAACTCAATGTTTTAATTTTCATAGTAACTGGCTTAATTATCGATTTAGCGATAAGTGATAATAACAATTATTGTTGTTATGGAACGTTGGAACGGGAAAACAATGTATACGAGTACATGTACGTATTCGTCAATAATAATCATAATAAAGTCGAAAAAAAAACTGAAAATAGACTTTGTTAGTCAATTAAGTAATTTATTTATTTATTTTATAATTTATTAAAATAATATTGTTTTTTTTTTTTTTTTTTAAGAAATTAAAAAAATGTATGAATTTATTTCATAGACAAAATTATATTTTTAAAAGCATAGATGAGTCGTATTGATTTATCTAAGAAGCTAAATATAATAAATACTCATGGTTTTAGGGTAAACAAAAGCATGAACATGCATTAAAAAAAAAAATAATAATAATGGTTTTCATGTTTTTATGAAAAGTTCAAAACATTTGAATTTATAATTTGTTAGAAGCATATAATGACACTTTGGTATTAAAGTATCTACGTGTATATTTAAAAGTAGGTTAACGGTCACATAACTTCTGGACATATCAGTCTTAATTATAATAATATAATTTTAGGTACTATTCATAGTATTCATACATGTATTTAATTTCATACCACTTAGAATAACAATAATAAATAAATATGTATATTATATAATTAATTTTTAAATTTTCACCTAAAAATCAAAAATACAATACATACGAAAAATTTAAATTGCGTTATTTTATATTTAAACATAAAAAACTCAAATAAATTTATCACCCTTTAAGTTCGACTTCTGGGAAAGGTGAAATTCCCAACCTTAGCCACCTCTTAAATACGGATGGACCCAATGTCAACGCAATATTTTTATTCTCTATCTAAACCATGCACAACAGTTTAAAAGCATTAAAGCTAAATCGTTTTTTTAAGTTTTTTATGGTTTTTGAGTAATTTATATGTTTATACACGATACACATATTATAAAAACATATAGAGTAATATTTTAAGGATTTGATATATCGATTTTTCATTTTATTTGTTTTTTATTCATACCATTCATACATTAGACTTTAAAAATAACAAATAAATTAAAATTGTATTACAATTTTTATATTTTTAAAAAAATGTTTAGAATAAAAATTTATCAAACCCTCGAAAATATTATTTTCTATAATTATTGTTATACAAGTGCAACATAAAATATTACTTGAAATCTATAAAAGTAAAATCGATTTCGCGTAACCTTATCTTCAATAACCTAAGCTTCTTAAGCACTGTTACGAGTATTCGCTAATATTTCACAACTTTAATTATAACTGGTACTGTGTCACGATGATGCATGGATTACTTACTACCTATATACACTATTATAATCTTAAAAACAATCTCTATGATTGGCTTATATAATAATTAATATAAATAAAGTATTGAATATTATAAGATTAATTCTGAAGACTTTGTTGAATATTTAAATTAATTTTTGAAAATCTAAGACAATATTGTTCTGTAATTATTGTTGTATTATATACAATATTGAATATGCTTATATATAAATAACGTAAAATAACCAAATCTCCTTTCCTGTATGTTGTGTTAGATTAAGAAGATTTAAAGATAATAATTATAAAATTGAATCTTCTTAGACTTAAAAAAATTATTTGTACAAAATATATGTTCAACTATCAATTATTTATTGCTTATATAAAAATATAAATTAAATACGTAAATTTATAATTACTTTTAATGATATTAATATTATGACTTATAAGTAGATAGGTATTTTAAATTTGTACTTTGTTCCCGCATTTTAAAATATTGAATTTTTTATTAGTCGTATTATTATAAATTATTTTTTTTATGTCGATAGAAAACTATTTATCTATAAAAAATTATGTTGTAATTCTTAAACTCTAGCAGATATTGATGAATTAAAAAAAAAAAAAAAAAAAAACATTACGTATAAAATAAAAATAATTATCTTCAAAATATACATTTAAAAAAAATAATTTTTATAAGATAAACTCAATTACTAAAGTGCTATGTTAATGTTATATAATTTTCTTTTACAATTAGTAACTTTCTTCAACAGGAATTTCTTTTTGTTGTGGCTGTGCTTTTTTTTTTCGCCCAAAACATCCAGTCGTAAAACATGTATCGCCCTTTCCAAACTCTTCACCATCCTCCATTGTTTGTGGCATTACTGTATTAAGTGTCTCAGGAAGTAAAGTACTTAACACTCCAGCTAAAAGGGTTACCAGAGCAAACGTTACTGCCGGGGCTCTTACATCATATGAATCCTTTAATTTAATATCATAAATACAATTATTAAGTTACCGAAAATTTTCAAATTCAAATAAGCACATTAATTATAAATATTAAAATATTCATTTTAACTAACCAACAGGGTAACTAAAGGAGTAAAACCACCAGCTAAACGTGCAAACATGCTTCCAAGTCCAATAGCAGTGTTACGAACCACAGTAGGGAAACGTTCTACAGTATAATTATATATAATAGCAAAAGCTCCAGCTATACAAAACTTTCCAAGGAACACAATACCAGTAGATATTGATTGTGATAATGGATCTAAAAACGCACATTTTTTAAATACTATTAATATATAGAAATCAATAAATAAAATTAATTTACCTGAGGGGAAAAATGCAGAAACAAACAAAGCAGTTCCTCCAACAATCATCATTGAGCTGCTAAGAAATCGTCTTCCCATACGATCCATTGATAATGTTACAAATATGTAACTAGGTATTTCTACAGCAGCCATCACAAAGAGCATAAAATATGGGTTCCCTGGTAGATTTCCGGTTCGAAGCGAAATACCATAGTACCCAAAACTAGCAGCAAACCTAAAATATTAACATAAAAATCATTATGTTTGAATTATAATAATTTTAAATGCATAGAATAGGTATTATTATTTTAGGTAAATACTTACTATCAAGTATATTATAGATTTCAATAACAAAATCGATTATCCTATCTATACATGTATATTATCTACCTGATTAATATATTTTATTATAGAATAATGACTTTACCAATAAAGACAAACGTTGATAGTATTATTTCTCAGGTTTGGTGTTTTGAACAAATCTATTATCGAATACGATCGATTTTGATTATTTTCTTTGACGGGTTCATCATTATTTAACGAAACCATTGGTTCTTTTTCTAATAGTATTGGCATTGTTTTATTATTGGTTTTTAGTGCTTTTTGAATAATTTTAATTGCTTCTTCTTTTCTTCCTTGACCCCATAACCATCTTGGAGACTCATCAATCAACCTAAATTATATTTAAATAAATACATATAATATTAGTATGTATACATTAATTTATAAAAGGGTAATTACAATCATAATTAATAGTAAATAACTAAAATAGTAAAAATCCTAGTTTTAAAAACAAAAATTAAAAATTTGCAATGTGATCGACATAATATCTCCGTATTATTTTCACTGATAAATATTATATATATATTATTTTTAAACTCAGCGAAAATAAATATCAATGTGTTACAATTTACATTTATGATTTATCGTAGTATATAAAATAATGTATTTAGTTTTAAAATTATGTAACATTTAAAAATATTTTTCTACATTTAAATATAATTGTATTGAAGATACAGACAAAAGTAAAGTTTCACTGGGTTTACTATATTATACTGCATGAGTGTAAGTTGAATATTTAGTATCAAACAATTAAATATACTTTGGATTAATAAAAATTAACTTTTTTAATAATAAAACTAAGATTATAATTATTTATTTTATCTTCGTAATTATTAAGACTATACATTTTTTACCATGCATTTTTCTTTATAAATTTTGTTGTCTCTATTAACTTACTAAGCATAAAAATAATCATTTTAAATTACTTACCAGAAATGAGGAATTAGAATTAAACTATGTAAGCCATATATAATTTGTAGTAAAAAGGTGTCCCTGATGAAATATCCCCATGCTGCTACGGCCATAATACCAGAAGCAAATGTAGTTTGAAATAGAATTCCACATACTGAACGTTTTGAGGGTCCTACTAACTCCATAGCTATGTAAAAGAATATAACAAATGTAAATTAAATAAATTTAATTTAAAGTTTATTGACGAAAATGTATTTATGGTAATACATTACACATACTTAAAACAAATCCTGAAATATAAGACCCCGATGAACCGAAAATTCCATATACATATGTGGTAGCTATAAATATCCAATAATTATTAAGAAACGCTACTCCGATACTAAGAATCAATTGTGCTACGGCTGAAATGCAGAAAATCTTTTTACGGCCAAATCTGTTAATATATATAGACGATTCAAATTAATATAATTATGTGCATTGTGTAATTTTTAATATATTATGATAAATTAAATGTAACATGAAAAATTTAAGGAATACAAATTTTACAAGATAAGAAATTTTAAATAGTTAGAACGACAAAAGTTGATTGTAATAAAAATATATTATAACGAGTCTTATGCCTTATGTGTCAATACATATTATGCACGTATTAGTGAAAAAATAATACACAGGCGTACAATTGAATAAAATATCATACCTTTATCTCTTATTAAAATCTAAAATATGTATTTTTTACCACATTTGTATACTCAAGGTATGGCTATATTTTTTTCTTCTTAAACAATATTGAATAAAAATAATATACTCAACGAATCAAATATTAATTTATTATTTTACTATGTAAATACCTAAGTAATTGAATTTGAAATTTGAATTTAGTCTAATATTTTGCTATTTTAGATAATTGCACATCAGATTGAATGTCATAATCGTTAAGGCTTAAAGGGAATAGAAATATAAAATACATCACTGATCATTTTTAGAAATATTTAAGTACATTTCTCTTACATCGTCTGATAATAATTACTATACATAGTTTAATAGTTGAATTTAATTTACAAAATTATAGTAGATAATAATTTTTTAATTTTAATTTTACTTTTAATTCTCTATTTTAGTTAAACAAAGTTGATATTATTAAATATAAATAGCACAAACTATTTTAATATTATGATAATTTTATTTAACACTACCAACAATAAAATATATTATTAATTAAATTATAAATATAATATTTATTATACAAATACTTTATTAAGCTATTAAAATTTACGAAAAACTAAATAAAATGCTTCTTCTTATTATTATTATTATTATTATTATTACCTATGTAAAACATACTTATCTAGTTTATATAATACATTATAACGCTTAATTAGGTATGTAAAGATTATAAGTAGATTAAACTATAGTACATATCTATAATGGCTATATAATTTATATAATAATATATGATTAGGTACTTAATATTTAATGAAATTTATTGTTTTTTAATTTCTTTGTTATTAAATATCAAAGCCAAACATTAATATTTTATGTTCATTAAAGTATTATACCAACGTCTTAATAATATTTTATAAACCTAACTTACAGTTGTTTAATATATTTTTACCTAATTCATAAGTCAGGTATCGCATAAAAATAATAATAATATACATATTTTATACGAGCCTACTTGTGTAAAATAAATAATTTTAATGAATTAGTCATTATATCATGAGTAGTATTATTAAACAATGTATTAAGATATGTAATGTAATTATGAATGTATTAGAATATTATGTTGAAACATACTAATAAAAATATTTATTTCATTAGTTTTTTATTTATTAAGAAATAATATTTACAATCTGTAACATTTATTTGTACAATAAGCGAATTTGCAGACTTTTTTCCTGCGTACAATTGACACGAGAACGAAAAACTGTGTAGTATCTAGAAATAAAATCCTCAGTAATATATTAAATTTTTATTATAATCACGTACCTATTTTAAATTATAACACTATAAGTTCTTAGTTTCCTACATAATAATCTTATATTATATAATAAGTTTCGAGAAATAGATAAGTAATTAGTTTACTCAATATCTATTGTAATCTGAAAATGTACACATAAACAAAATTTGCAATAAGAAAATAATTATACTTAACTATTTGTAATATATTATATATATGTTGTGTTAAATAATAAGTACTAGGCATCTTAGTTTAATTTACTTTCAACCTTTCAGAAAAACTCTACATAATATTCAGAAATGTATGTTTGATAAAATTGCTAGACTTAATTATAATAATTAATTAATCTTAGTCCATAAATGAGTTTTACCAGTCGATAAAAAGGTATAATGGCTTATAATGGTTTATTATGTGGTAGCTTTTAATATTATTATTTTTCTCCTCGACCCAGCAAAAACATAATCAAAAGGTTATCAAATAACTAATGTGACCGATTATTTTATATGTACCAACTAAAACGTGTATAAAACTAATATTTTATTCATTGACGTAATGATACATTACTTAATATAACTACATACTTATCAGCAAGACTTCCAAGCACAACTGAGCCGGTAAATACTCCAAACATGTAACTCATCTGTGCTAAAGATCCCATCCATCGATTATCGCAAATCATATTCCACTAGAAATCGAAAAATAAACATATAGTTACATTTCTGACGTCCTAATACTTTAATTTATTTTACAAAAAATTGGCAAAAATAAATTAAAAATCATCGTACAATTCCATTTACAATATTTTCAGCTGCATTTAAATAACAAATGATTTTCTAAAATACATTGAGTTTTTAAAACAAACGATAAAAATTGGTTTTTATTAATTATTATACCTGCGTAGCTCTAGTACTTCCGTAGTATGTTTCATTAAATATCCATTTTTCACAATTTATAGTTTTATTATATGCATTTATTACTTGACACGAATCGTTATTAAATTTTGGTGCCATAATCCAATTTGTGATGTTTGATTCTGTTTCTGATTCTGGTATTAAACAACTGTAGATAAAAAACATATTTGAATTTAGTTTAACAAAAAGCTATGAAAAATTTATATTTCAATAATCGTTATTGTGATAATATTTTAATATATAATACTAGATTTTATACTTTTTAGTTTTAATTAATTTTATGTAATGCATAGAAAATTTCTGAATTTTATCTGATGTAGGTGTATTAGAATAAGTATAATTAAGTGGATTGAGAATAATTTGGTTGCTTATTGTATAGGTACCTACAGTCTGAGTGTCTGAGTTCATATTTTAAGATATTTGACAATATTATTATAGTCAGTTTGAAAAACGAATGGACTATTTTATATATACTTGTATTCAGGTACAGCAGCGACAGTGACTAAAACCATCATGTGTAGACCAGCTGTGAATGCTGACATTAGACTTAGTAAAAACTGCCGCAGTTGGTATGATCCGAAGTCTCCTATAACAAGGGATGCACAAAATGTATACATAAAATAAACGCACGAAAAGGTTTGATATACAACAATATAAAATTAATGAGCAACACATTACAAATATATATCTAAGTTTTATTTAACACCATATTTTATAATTATAAAGCATACTTTATGTACTATAACAACATATTTACACATAGACACACATACATATATACTGGTAAATGTGTAATACCATTAAGTATATATAGTAAATATAGTATATATATATACTATATATACTCAATGGTAATACTTTAGTAATAATATCTATTGAACTACATAAATACTTCAAATAATATTTTTTTGGAATTAAAAAATGTTTTAATTTATATAATAAATTGCTTAAAGGTTTTATCATTCATTTCAGAACATATTTATAGTTATTTTCATACACAACAAACAATTTTTTTTAACAAAAATTTCACAAACTAGTTATAGGTAACCTTAAAACGTTGAATAGAGTTAAATCTAAAATAAAAATATCCTTTTAAATGGTTTTTAACGGTGTCTCGTATAGTTCTTAGTCAAAACATATATTACATGTTTCTAATGAAAACCATTTCAGTTATGTTATCTATTGTTATTTAAATAAATGATTTTAAAGAATTTAAATTTTCACCATTTATAAACAAACAAAAAGATACTAAATGATTAATAGATTTTGAATTTTTGAATTATATGATTTAAAAATTAAACACAAAATTTTAAATAACAATCTTATCTAGATACGTACAACTCACAGATTAATATCTTTAAATTCAACGGTTCGTTTATACCAAATTTTATTTGTTTTATACTACCACCAAAATGTTTTTGCAAGCTATAAGTTGATAATTGCTGGACTAAAGTAAAGTTTAAGAATTTTTTCAATTAGATAAGTTTTTTTTGCATGATGATTTATAATTTAATATTTAATACTGTGTCAAAATAAACAAAACTCTATATTTAGCCTATGGAATGTCCTGTTTAGGTTTTTGTTTTATTATGAATTATGATAATATACCTACCTATATTTAATACTTTAAATACCTACATGCGTTTTTCACACAAATAATAATAATTAAATAAATAAAATACTTAATACAAAATAAATTTTACCATGTTTTACGATTTTAATTTTTTTAAGTACCTATGATACAATTATTTAAGATAACAAATATTGTTAACGAAATGTATTCAAGAATTCAAATAAAAACTTGAAGAGCTCAAGAGTTGAGAACATATATCAATAATATGGAGGCCGTTGCATGTCTCGTCTATAGGTATATATAGCTGACTGCCGAGCAAAGTGGCCTCTTAACATTACTCTATACTGGTCGAGATCAAAAACTGAAAATAAACTTTTATTAATTTTATTTAATCTCCGCATAGTGTAAAACTAGGTAGGTACTTGTAAAAATTTAAATCTTGCATTTTTTGATAACATGAAAAGTATTATGAGTAAATATTATTTTTATCATACCATATATAACTATTATCGAAACATAAATATCGAGATTTATATTTTACCTATATATAGTAATCAATGTTAATAAGTATTACACTTAACATTTGGACCATTTAGTTTGTAAATTATCAACTAATAATAAATTAATTTTAATGTAAACATAATTTTAAACTCTTTGAGTCTCATCAGAATTTAACCTTATTGTAATATTTACGTACATTCATTTGAATCTTTTGTAAATACAAGTGTAATCATAATTAATAATTATTGATCGCTTCTGCAATGCCAATAATCTAGAATTTTAAGTTTCTCAATAACTAAATAAAATGCACCATCTTAAAATTAGAATGTGGGTAGTCGATTGAAATGTAGAATAAGAGAACCATTTTTTCTATAACCTATATTTGTTTTAAATATAAATAATGTCATATATATTTTGATTTTATAATGATTTTTTTAGCTGTAATGAAAAAAAGGTTTCACAAAATGCATTATTTTTTTTTAACATATTATACAATGTCATATATATATATATTTATTATTTATCGTTTATAAGAGTTTTTTTTTTTTTTTATTATTATTATTACATCAAATTTCTAAGCGTGAAAAAATGTAAAAACTATCAAATCAATAATAATTATGAAAAAGTAATTTTTAATTTTTACAATTTTCTAATCTATTAAATATTTAAATCTTAACATTTAATATTCAATTCAAAATAATCCAACAATCAACAATATTAAAAAAAAAAAATAAAAATCGATAGTAAATGGATATTTTTTTTTTAATGAATAAACAATTATATTATATTATTTACATAAATTTATAAAGATTATGAAATTATTAGATTTATTTATAGGTATATAATTTGTTGTTTGAATATTATGATTAGATATTATAACGATCTTAATACAAAAGTTTCCCTATGGAATAATATTTGAATAAATTTATAATCTTAATTCTTAACTTTTTCAAGGTATTTAAAATTTAAAAATAGCTTTACAAATAATGCTAAAAAGTAAACTATACCATGATTATGATTAATTAAAAGCAAAAGAAAAATCAAGCCTCAAGGGCAGAAAATTACCCCCACGAACATTTTTTATGGGGAAGAGTATAAAGGTATAATTTTGATCCCAAGTATACCAACAGAAGAAATATTTAAATCTTCCAAAACAATGAAAATATACACTTTATGTACATTTAGAAATTAAAAACATTTTTTCTCAAATTATGACATAAAGCGCGTTTATTTTTTGTTTTATCTGTTGTATAATTTATATTTACGTATTGTCAACATTATAGCATTATCAGCTATGTTACAAAAATAAATTAATAACATGATTTCATAAATTTTTTTTTAAATTTATTAATATTAACTCCACTAGGCCACTATGTTACTTTTGTATTAAAATATATTATATTAGTTATTATATCAAATATAATATGTTAAAAGTATTTGTTTTGAATTTTGATGGCCTCCGAAAATTTTCAAAATTCTCAATGTGGCTCTCCGTAAATATTAATTAGTGACTCATGCAATATAGGTACCTGAAATTTGTTTTAAGTTATAAAATGAGTTTTGAGACTTTTGTAAAAACAAACAACTAGGTTATGGTTTTGATTTTAGTGAACAAATTTTGTTACCTAATATTTCACTAGTTTTAAGTCTGACTCGTCACTGTGATGAATGTATTATTTGAATTCAGTGATGAATCATTGCGTAGATACAAAAACGATTCTGAGTTGAGTCGTTGTACCAGCTTTAATTTCTAAAGGTTAAGCTATAATTTATTTTACTACTACATATTTATTTGTACAATAGTTATACCTGCTACCCAGGTTAAACTAATTTATACTAAATACATCGCATATGTTATGTTATTATATTAACTTTTAAGCAAGAGTTTATTAATATATTTTCGCTTGTATAGGGCTATGGAAAATTTTCGCTTTGAGAAAATGTACCCTATTGATTGAATTAACACTTAATTACCTTACCATTAAATATAATTTAATTAGGTAAGTATGTCAAACAAGTCTTATTTAAATACTATAACATAATTTCTCAAGAGATAAAAAAAATATATTCATATTTTAATAACAAAATATTGATATACATTCGAACTTGAACACAATAATTATTAATTACTAATTAGATAAATGAAAATACTCCCGAATCCCAATACAGCAATTAGAAATTATAAAAATAGTAAATTTAAATTTAATTTATAATCGATAATATTATGGCCGGTATACATCTCATAATACAGTGATTAAATCCTCAATATATACTATAAAAAAAATTTCTTTTAAAGTTTACTGCTATAGGCAGTACACATTGCCTTATGATGACTATTTATAAGTCAAATAAATACGCCACTGATTATTATTCAACATACGGACACAAGTTACTATAAATTGATGTAAATACTAGTTTGTGGTATAGATATAAATACATTTTAAATGTAATTGGGTTTAATATAAAATTGAATAAAATATATAAAAATAAATAATATAAAGGATGATAATTTAAGTAATTGCTTAACGTTTCAAATTTTTACAATACAATTTCTACTTACTACAAAATAACTAAAATCACTTATATATTAAAATTATTATTAAATGTGTAATTATCCAATTAATAATATACATAATGAACGGATTCAAGGAACTGAAATTAATATTATGAATAATAACAAAATAACTAAAATCATAAAAGTAATAAAAATTATTAATTCTCATATAAATATCATCCAATTTTTTCATAATTTGAACTACAAAAACTTATAAATAGTTTCATCCAATTGTATTTTCGATACTTTTAAATTACTGTATTAAAAACTATTAGCTTTATATTAAATTTTCAAGCTTTTTTATTTAAACAACAATTGTGATTTATCAAAATGAATTAAAAAACAATTTAAAATTCTAAATAAATTGGCAGTTATAAAAGAGTATAAATATCTTTAAAATTTTATCATGTCTAAAATTATTTATTTTTATATTTAATGGAAATATTAAGTGTATATAGTTATTTAATTTTGATATTAGAAAAAAAAATAAAATCAATTTTATCAAAAACTAGTGTTGTGTATAAATATTACAGATTTTTCTTAAATTTTTTTAAACTTTTTCCGATTATTTAAAAGAATACTGATTTTTACTTATATTCCTCAAAAGTACCAACTACCTAAATTCAGTATTTTTTTACTGTTCCATAAGGAGACGTCATAAAAAAAATACACATCATTGTAAAATCGCTTCACTCAAATTTTCAAATTTAATATGAACTTAAATCAAAATGAATTCAAATAAAAATGCAATTTTTTTCTACACTTAGAGATGATATATCATAAAAAAGTGTATTGGTAGGTCGATCTAAAATAATAATATTTACTAGTACAGTATTTTATTTTAATAAAGGTATATAATTTAGTATAACATACTTGCGTTATTAATTTTCTTATGTAAATGCGCTATACTAAAAATGATAGCAAATTACATTTTAACTATAATATTCATTTCTATTAAATATTAAAAAATAATTTTTATTTACATAGGTATGCGTTATAATATATATTATATATATTGTAAAACAAGAATGATAATAAAATTGTAGGTAGTAAATTGATTTTTCTATATTTGTCATTCTAGTTATATGTATAACGGTCAATGAAGCCCCAAAGGGCTTTCAGAATTCTGATCAAAATAAATTAGAACTAGCTCAATACTTAACGTCAATAAAGTATAAATTGTAAAAACACGACAAATGTATTTTGAGTTAATGGTAGTTGGGGCATTTTTGGCTTCATTCCATTTAAATGAAATGAACAAAACTATTATACACAACGATAAGATAATATATATTCGTTTAATGTTTAAATCATTATTATTAGTTCAAATCATTTGTAGACGATAACATAAAATAAAGTATTTGATAATCACGAAAATAATTGTCCGAGAATTATAAAATAATTACGTGTTAGTATAATAAAACATGACTTGTGCATATTCTAGAATCAATTTATTTTATATTTATTGTTATTAATATTTAAATTTTAAACATATTACAATCGTTTATAATATTTTATGTGTGATTTAAAATGTATAAATTTTCATTATTAAAAAAATTTTGATTTAAAAAAAAGTTTAAATTGACTTACATTTAAAATTAATTACGTACTAAAAATTATGATTTCTAAAAAAACTTTTTTACGAAAATTCCATAACACAAGTCTTGACCTTAAGCTTAGTTATAAAAAAAAAATTATGAATATAAAATAATTTGATCATCAACATGTGTTATAGACACAGTTACATTATTATCTGTCTGATTATTTAACAGGTACCTACGATTGTTGTGTATTTTATAATATTATAATACTATATACCTACTAGCTTTATAGGTATATTACAACGAACTCAACAGAGTAAATTATTTTGTGTTTTTTCATTAAAAAAAAAAAAAATCATTTCTATTTGTTGATAGTAAGTCTTGTAAATATAGATAAATAACACGTGTTCAGTAGATTTAAAGTTCATTTGAAAATGTTTTATATAGATTATAAATTACAAGTCATTAAAATTGAGGTCTTGATAACTCGATAAATGTATAAATGTAAGTAATATACCTATATGATATATGAGGTCATTATATTATATTTTAGAGAAAATAAATCGAAAAAATATAAAAACTAAAACTTGTAATAACCTTGGCCATATTTTTAATACAATTATTGATGTCGCCTATGTAATATATATATATATATATATATATATTATACGCATTAAATAAATACGATTCGATTGATTACTAAATAACTATAACTAAAATTAAAATTTTTTATTAATTAAAATCTATATTTTAGTAAAAATTGTTCTAAAATAAAATAAAATAAATCATATATGTATATATTATTATATATTATATATTTATATTAGATACTATACAATTAATATTAAATGCATAAATGTAAAATTATGTTATTTTCATGTGAACACCACAATATTACTAACTAGTAGTCTATTTTAGATGAATGATACAAACCATACACAATATATTCTATAAATAATACATAAAACATTTTATAAAATAAGTTTTATTTACGAAAAAAGACTATTATCATTTAAATAAAATATTATATAGCATTTGATACATATTTTACCGACTAAGATAAAAAAAAATAATACATAATAAGTATTCTTAGTTTTCTAGCAATTAAAATTTTAAATTAAAATGTACTTTAAAAAGAAAACATCAGATATACATTTTAATTTTGTATGATTGTAGTAATTATAAATTAATTAATCAGTATTTAAAAAAATTTTCTTACCTAAATGCTCCATATAAAAATCAATATTTGTACTTTTTTCCATTTTTGATGCACTGTTTTTATTTTTATATTTAAACTTAAAATCAACTAAATTAAAAAAAAAGTTATCACTATGGCAAACGGTTTAAATTCGTAAATATTTTGGTGAACTCATTTTTTTAATACTACGCAAGGGAATGTATTAAGGGAAGTGATTGAGCTGTTTTGAGCGTGGCAGTCAAATAGAAACTATAGCACCGAATACTAGTTCAGCACTGCTGCCAAAGTGCCATGCAGGATTACTTAAGAAACACATGGTACAAGAATATAACACTACGTTCAACCAACCGAGGCGTCTGAGGCATACAGTGTGATAACGTTTTTAATAAAATATATGTTATGGCTCTTTTGTTATGCTTTCGGAGTGCATTGAACGCAAAATGTAACTGATAATAAATGCAAGGTAAGCAGATAAATTAACATTTAGTACATAATACATAGGTATATATTAAAGTGTTCCTTAACAAATCGTACTTATTTTATTGTTAAATAAGATTTTTTTATATAACTAAATAACAATAAAAATTTTAAAATATTTTTTTTTAAAACTAACAATAAATTTTATATTTTATATTCATTAAATTCTATCTAAAAACATTACCAAAATTTAGTATTGTCTACATGAAAAATATATAAACTTTAATTTAATGTAATTACTTTGATTAAAATAAATGATCTAAAATTATCATTACTTAATAATTTTAAATACATAATTTATGGATTTTAATATGAGAATTTTTTTAGAATTATTCAGGGTGATTCACAAAGCATGCTCTATTTGATTTCATTTAAATTCTTAATTTTTTGGATTTCTAAATATACTTAAGTAATATATTTTCAAATACATAGATATATAATTATTATAATTATAATATAAATATATATATATATATATATTTATATTTATATATTATACTTAATCTATCAAAATTTTTTTAATATTTAAAAATTGTACGAGTAGGTATAATAAATACTAAATCTAATCATTTCAGATTAATACTTAAATATTTTAATAACTCGGAAACTAATTGTTTGGATTTTAATTTATATATAATGATTTTTTCAAAATAATCTACTCAAAAGTCTACAGTAAGATAGATTGGTTATTTTTTGTAAAAAAAAAATGAAATTTTTATCATCACCTTAAAATTTAAATGGAATAGCAATTAAAAACATGCCTCATTTTAAGAATATTTAAAAATTCCATTATAAAATAAAATAGGGACGTATGTTAGATAAATCATCCTGTATATACTATTTGAAATTATTATAAAATTATTCTTAAAAGAACTGTTTTGAAATTTTGAAATTTTACTAAAATTAAATAAAATTTTTGTTTTTTAGAAAAAAATAAATAATGAATTACTTATTTTTATTTAGGTTATGAAAACTGTTATTAGTTATGACTTGCGGGAATAAAAAACATTAAAATCTATTATTAAAATTTACCTACGATTTGAGTTTTATAAATAGGAATTTTTGAAAATGTCACCGTATTCACTATACTATTGTATTTATAATATTATATTCTTTAAAAAATTATTCTAGAATTATTTCTAAAGCCTTATTAAGTTATTAGTCATTGGAATATAAAGTCATCAAATTTATTAATGCATTATTAAACTACCTTTTAAAAGCATTGATTAAATTATAGGTATTCATTTATTTGGCTGCATCCGAATTGGTTCCCATACCTGAAAATTGACATCCGAATTGGTTCCCGACATTCCATGGAACACACATCCGAATTGGTTCCCGATATTCCACGGAACACACATCCGAATTGGTTCCCGATATTCTAGGTAGACAAGAAACTTTTTTTTTTCGATCATGTTTTAAAAATCATATCAACAAAATTGCTTTTTTGATTTTTTGAATTTTTGAATTTTGCTTTAATATGAACTTATATAGCAAGTTCAACAGTTGTTTCTATTCCGCAAATCCGAACATTTTTCAATTTATTGATGTGTTGAAAGAAGTTCAAATTGAAACGTATGTTAAATTGCGAAGTACAAACAAATTACAGAATTTGAAGTCCAAAAATAAGGAAACATTTATAAAAATAGAAATGGACAAATACAAAAGTAATGAAATTACTAAATTAGAATTTATAAACAATGTTTGTTGCAAATTTTTACCTTAGTAATACATTAATATATACCTAATTATTATACTTAAAAAAAAAAAAAAAAAATTGACGAGTTGAAAAACTGTATTATTATTATTATATTATGTATTATTTTTCATTTTTTTTAATGACATTCGTGACAAAAGCCACAATTTTTAACCATTTCCTGGGAACCAATTCGGAACAACCCGGGAACCAATTCGGATATACCCTTCGTAACAACCCGGGAACCAATTCGGACGTTTGGGAACCAATTCGGATACACCGATTTATTTAATAAAATACTCGTTTTTTGATTACTTTTCTACTAAATATTTTATTTACAATAATATGCTGTTTTTAAGATAACATTGTATAAGAATTAATTATTATTTAGACGTATAGCTTATTTCTCTATGTTCTATAGTCATAGAAAATAAATAAAAATCGATTTTAGTAATTCAAGATTTTTGGGCCATTATCAATAATGTCTATTATTGGATGATTTGTATAAAATTTATAATATAGGAGGTACGTACGAATAAATAAAGATAGCTAGTAGGTTTTTGAAACTATGAAATATAAAGTATGAAATGTTTTCCAATTTAATTTTCTATCTATATGGATTAATTATAACTTGTCTATAAGTATAGGAACTGGAGATTTGATTTTTAGTGTTTTATAACATATCTATGATTAATAAATTATAAAACTCAAAGTACCTATCATATTTTCAACTCATACATTTTAAAATTGTTAATCACTTAAACGTGAATTATAGGTACTTAAGTCTGATTGAAAATTATTTTTAGTGATTTAAATGTTTAGAAAACAGCGTTTCGTTGCATTCAAATTCAAAATGATAACACTTCTTTAAGTTCTAACACCTAAGTTGCTTATAAAAACTACTATTTAAGTAATTGCAAAAAAATATTTGTGTTCTTACAATAAAGATTTAAACAGTAATAACTATTTTAATACGAGTATACTAAAAAGAGTTGAACTCATAATAAATCTTATTTTTGTGTTTACTTAGGTGAATTTCAACGAATAATATTTTATCAAAATAATTTTTAAACGTAGGTAGGTATTTAATGATTTAATTGATTATAAAATCATACAATTAATGTAATTTAAAGCTTTATAAAACTATATACTCGTAAATAAATATTTTTGGTATAGCAAAGTATGTAATAACATTTTTATAATTATCACATTTTTACATAACTAAATAATATGGTTTGTCTGAATTCATTTTTATAAAAATTTAAATTTCCTATTTATATTTTATTTTCAGCATGATTGGATGTGGTTTATATTGACTAATTCATAACATTAACGTTTTTAAATTCTAATCTTCAAATTATTTCAATTCTGACTAAATTGTTTAAATCTTAATTTTAAAAGATTAACTGTTACTTATTTTCAAATATTTATAGTACAGCTTAATTAAAGACATTTGATAAACGAATTTAAATTAGATATCTTATAATACATTTATTATTAAATATATATAAAACTAATTAAAACTTATTTTAAACTTATTATTTTTATAATTGTATTTTAAAATACAGATTTTTGTGACTACTATGTTAAAATAAGTAAAAATTCTCTTTATCTAATTTTTTTTTTTATTGTGATGTTACCATACAATACAGGTATTAAAAATTATAATTACGTAGATATACTAACTAAATATAATATAATGAACTGAAAAGTTTTCCCATCAATTTATTGTACGATCTAAAGACATTATCTTAAGATTTTTTTATTTTATACTATTTTAAATTTTAAAAATAATGTAACTATATTATTTTTAAGTTTATAATATTTATTTAATAGAATTTATAGTTAGTTAATGTATTTCATTTGTGTATTATGTTTTTTGAATCTAAGTGAAAAAATTAATTTATATTAGATTTGTATATGGTACTCTTCATAAAAGTAATTGATGTACCTACATCTTAATTAATAAGTATACTTTTATACCTAAAAATATAAAATATCAATCGAATTTTTAAATTTTTAGTATAAAAAAAAAAAAATGCATCAAATATATAGTTTTGAAAATTTTATAAATGCTAAATTTTAAGTGCAATTTTAGATTATATTTTACATATGATCCATAATTTTCTTTATTTTTGTTTACTTGCTTATTTAAAAAATATATATATACAATTTATACATTTAGTATAATAAGCAAAAGATATTACACAAAAAAAACCTTGTCATTGGTAAGTTGAACGTTTATTATAAGTTCTTTTAAACAAATTTTTTTCTCATTTTAACTCAGAAGTCACTATATAATCAACATATGATTTCTTTATTCCTAAAAATTCTTACTAAATATTAACTTAAAATTTTAAATGGTAATGATTATATAATTTATATCATAAACGCACGTGAAATATAATATATGATAATAAATCAAAGTACGTGATAATACGCAAATAACTTTATTAAATATGAGATTATTAGTCTGACGTTAGATGTATAGGCGTAGGTAACTTACACGTTTAAAATATTTTAAACTGTCAAGTATTAGATATAAATATTGAAATATAACCTAACATAATTCTACAATATGATAAATCATATAATATAAAATATATATCTATTTATGCTAAAATCAAAAGGTATACCTTATCAGTTATATTTAGCAAATAAAAGATTACTTCTAAGTTATTTCTAATTAACATTTAAAAAAGTTAAATTTCTCGTTTAATATTTAAATCAAATTTATATAGTGAAGAAACATTTGACCATAGTCTAAAATGTCTAAAAATATACTCATTTAAAATTAATGTAGTTTTGCTTTACAGTAAAATTAGACAAGATAAAATTACACATTTTCAAATTTTGAGATTTCGTTTATATTATGTCTATAATTTAAGATTCAAGTTTGATAAATATTTTTCAAGTATAATAAATTATAATATATTATATTATTTATATTGCTATATAGATACTAAAAATTATTATTTTTTATGAACCATAACAATTTAAAGTACGTATTCTTATTGATAATCATACATTGAATTATTATGAACAATCAACATTATTAGTCATTCAATTGTAAATTATAAATTATAAGTTCCATTCATTATAGGCTTTTTTTTTTTGAAAGTTAAATTGTTAAAAATATTCCTACTATTTTATCTGTATATAATTTCTCAATACTCTAAAATGACATATTTCTAATCAAAAAAGTATAAAACCAATTAAAGTGAAAAATAGAGCGCCTGAAAATGTACATATAAGCAACACAATTACGTACCATGACCTATGTGTATGTGTTTACTAAGTACCTATAAATATGTAAGTATCAAATTCTCAAACATTGAAACATTTTTGGGTTTTGATTTTCTGAGCCTAGCCTCTGATTTTTATGCTTTTAATAGTAATTTTATTCAGATATTAGGTAGTATAACATTTTTTTGTAGTCCAGAGATTTTATTGAGTAGGTTTAAATATGTGGCATTTTGACCATTTTGTTAACTATTTATTTTAGTATTATATAAATAGAATACATACAATATTGTCAATTCTAATTTTAAGATCTAAACATTTAGTACAAGGTTAAACACACACATACACGTATACATAATATATTTTCCTAATTCCATGACAACCATAATAAAATTATTTAAAAAAACAGAAGAAGTTGCTCTGCTATATAATAGGTTTCTACTTTTGAGCTATTGAGAATGTGTTGAATTTAAATTCATACTTTTAAAATAACTACTTTTTGTTTAAATATTAAATTTTAGCTTAAAACATCTTAACTTTAAAAACGTTTATCAAAAAAATTTTACTTATGTATTTTAGATATTTTTAGTTATTATTGTTGAAAAGTTAATACATTATTTACAACAAAAAATTCACAATTATTTTCATAATTTTGATCAATTTTATCAAAATATGATCTATAAACACTTAATAAAAAAATTGCGCCTATTTATTTTAAATATTTCAAATTAATAAAAGTTTTTGCCAGTAATATTAAATTTATTTGTCAACATTTTTTTATCCTTAAATGGCTTAAATATATCAACAATTACCGAATTAGTTTGAAAATTAAATCATGTCTAGAAAATGCTAACATACCTAAATATTTTATAAAAAGGTCTAATATTTACGGTTATAAGTTTTTGAATTACAACCAACTAACAAAATCGATTTTTTCAAAAATAAATGTAGTATAAACATTCTCGTTTTCTATAATTTTTTTTAGTTTTTGAAAAGTACTAGTTTTAGATGTTTGATTTTCTACTATAAAATCTACCATTAAATTTGAATATTAGATGATTTAAATGTTTATTATACTGTTCTAAAGATGATGACAGACGTAAAAACATATACATTTTGCTTCGTTCTGAATCTAAATTTAAAAATGTTTAGACTAACGTTATAAAAACATTTAAAAACTAATTATTATACACTACTATAAAGTAAGTAAAAAGTAACACTTAACATGAGTAATAATTTGTTTTTCAATAGGGTCTTTTTTATTTTCTTACCAGAATTCTGTTTATGCCACTGTTACCTATTATAGTCCCAACTCTTATTAAGAGGATTGTAATTAATACTTACACATGTGAAATGCTTATTACTTGCTTCAAAATAAAATACAAAAAAAAAAAGCCTACATTGAGCTATAATATATAATATTAATATCTTTAAATTTTAATATAGGTAATAAATTCAGCTTAAATTTAAAATATCAGCAACTCTTTTAAATAAAAATAATAATATTAAAAATAACGGAGTTAAGTGGATTATTCTGAAGGTAAAATGTGAATTGACTGGCGTTTGTAAGATATGGCAATACGGGAGATAACACATGTGAATATATCCTCTTAACTTTTAGGGTAAATGCAAGTTATAGATGCCTACATGGCTACATAACAATAATTAACAATAACAAAAACACAATCTTAGCAGTATTATTTTTAAATAAATCTTAATCTAAGCTTTCTATACTTTTTTTCTGGTTTCGAAGTAACTGTATACTGTACTGTTGTTGAAAATTAAACAATTTTTAGATAGCCAAGTAACGGACATTTAAACAATAAACATGTAGGTATATTAATTCTCCATTTAGCTCTTAAATTTGTATTAGGAACCTCCTTTTACTTGTTATACGAATTTTTTTAAAACCATTATGTCAACTAAAATGAATATACAAGTTGTAGGGTGTATATTATCTAATTCTTTTCATATTACTAAATATCTATTACTTGTACGTTTCATTTTACACTTATTTAAAATTTAACCATTGAAATTGTTATTAAATTTTAGAATTTGGTGAAACATCGGCACGATTTGATTAATAAATATGTTATAAAAGGTGTTATGGATATTGAATGGACGAGATGTTTATGGAATATAAATCAAGTATAAATAAAAACAAATTACAGTTAAATAGTACTTCATATTCTTCATAAAATTGTATAGGTATTCAAACAAATCTTGTTTTTAGATTCTTGGTGGTGTGAAACGCCAAGATACTGTAGCAATATTTATCAATGAAAAGTATATAGGCACTTGCGTAGAATTTCAACATTATATAAGCTCCAAATACAATATTACCATAAGTTTATGGTCACTGAATTATAGACAACTTGCATTGATTGATGTTCAAAACTATTATAACAGTAAGGTACAAGTTTAAAATGACTTAAATTATACATTAACTTTAAATATAATAATATGAATCAATGCAGCCAATTTTATTTTAATCATTTTAACGTCGCGATTTAAAAATGCGAGTCAAAAATAGTCTGTCAATTCGTAACCTCTTGTAATTTTTTTCGGTCTTACAAGCTTCAATTATTTTATCATTAGCGGGATAAATAAGTAATATCTAACATATAAGTATGCTTTTTACGAAAATAAAACATTTCGAATATGTATTTACTATTTATAAATACCATTAATACTTAATACGTTAACAAGTGAGTGAAAGAGTAGTTGGTTGTGGAATGCTCCGAGTGCCCGTATCTATCTACGAGATAGTACCTATCTACTTTTAATCATGCGTGTGCTATTGCATTGTGAAAATTATTTGTAATCAGTTTTATTTTCATATTATTTAATGTAAGTATTATCGGAAACAAGTAGAATAATTTTAAATGTGTTTTGTTGGTTTTAATTGATATTTAGAAACTCAAAACATTTTTTTTTTTCGTACACAATTGTTTAATTCTTTGTGACTGACTTGACCTATTGTTTATGGGGTGGCGAGTAATTGGGAACCCAATAAAAAATTATAAACATTCTATCGTAATATACAGTAGCAACTAGTGCTGGTAATTATGTTATAATTAGTGATTCATTAATAATTTAATATTAATATTTTGTAAGAATTCCGGTTATAAAACAGTTAATAAATATAATATAATTAATAATATCACTGCCTATATTATTATTTATTAATTATACATCTAAATAAATGTTTATATACATTGTCCGATATTGTGACTTATAATTCGAGTTAAACGATTTATAAATTTTAATATTCAATACCTATCTGACTATTATTAATTACATAATTTCTTATTTTGATCACTAAATTCTAATATTGCATAAAATACCACATTGTTCACATATTTTATAGGCACTCAGTTACCGTGTTGTACATTACATATCTATTGATAAATACATAGGTATTACAATACTATACAAGTAGGTAGGTATATAACCATATGTCTATAATATCTATCATTTTTAGTTGACATTCGTACGTATGGTTTTTGAAGTTAACAATTGGGAAATTGGTCACATTATTTTTGTTGTTAGTATACATATTATTATTTATTTTATTTTAATAAATATCTTTAAATAAAAAATAGTGAATATTTTAGTTGTTTGATAAACTAGTTCCAAAAACTTGTAAATATTTTAAACAATTATGCATTAATAAAATTGAAGGATACTTAAACAGTTCTGTCCACAGGATTGATATAAATAACGGTTTTATTCAAGCTGGACGTAAGTAAATGATTTATTTTTCAAATAATCCGCTTGAGTTATTTTATTTTTATAAATTTCGTTCACAGGAATATTAAATCAAGTGGCGTATTTAAAAAAAGAAAATTTCTTAGTCAGTCATGATAGAAGAGGTGTGTTGTCATTAGCTAGTAGACAAACATATTTTAATGGCCCGGAATTTATTATTAGTTTTCAACCAAATCCTTGGATGAATAATAAATATGTGGCGTTTGGGTAACTAAAATAAAGACATTAAGGTCAAAATCATAAATAATAAACAATAATTTTCAATGGTACAGACATGCTGTCGAGGGTGAAAAAACCTTAAAAATAATTGAGAAATTGTCGAACGCACATACAATCTTTAACCAACCAATACGTATAACGTCGTATGATATATTACCAAACTGCAATACTCGTTCTGTCGTTGAAACAAAATTAGACAAATTTTTATATTCTATTATTGAAAAAATTATACTCAAAGCTATGTATATAAACACATACGGCAAACCCAAACCTCTTTATAAACCTACTATCACAAATCTTCAGTATATAGAATCGATTGTTCAAACCTTAACAACTAATGTTATGAGTAAAATTAAAGACTTTACACCATCTCAAGAAAATATACCATTTATGGATTATTCAAAACAGTTAAGACTACCAGGTTCTATATCTATTCCAAGCGCGCCATCTATCTGCAAAGATGGAACAAAGAAAAAACATTCACTCATAAAGTTAACGCCATATTCTACTGGTTTTAATGGCACTACAAATAAATTACACAAAACTGATGAAACAAAGTCGACGATAAAATCGAAACAGCATACGGATGCTTGCAGTAAAATAAGAATCGACAAAAATGACGAGTATGGTATAAATTTACCAATAAATCATAAGAACTATTGGAAATATAAAAAAATTTATGATGTAATTTCCAATTGAATAAATCATAAGTAAATAAGTCATAATTCAACATTCGTCTATTATATTAGTTATCTAAACATGCATGGACATGACTGCATGAGTGCATGACACATCACTACATCAGTACATCACACATATTATAATATAATACATAGATAATTATTGATTGGTTCAGGGAAACCCAAGTAATCATCCTAGTAAGATTTCTGTAAATATGTACCTATTTAAATGAGTATCTTAATAATATTGTTTACTTACAAATATTATCTACTGAAATAAGTGAATGCGAGTTAAAATAATTAGTGAAATGCATTTTAAGAAGTCTATCCAACATTATAGTAGGCGCAAAACCCACAGTATTGAAAGCATATCATCCTAATTAACTGTTATACAAAGCAGAAACATTTAATTAGGGTGGCCAGATGTCTCTTTAAAAAAAAAAAAAGAGTACATTTTTACAAACTATTACTAACTAGAAACAAAAGTCAATATGGGGGGGGGGGACAGTTGGTACTATTTCAGGTAGAAAAATTTAAACAATATTACATAATTTGTTACTACAAAACACAGGTACCTAGTTAACAGATTATCTTCTATTAATAGCTTAGCTTTTCATATTAGTTAATGCAATGTTTTTTAGCTTAAATCTTATATTATTATCACTATTCACTCGGATCGAGGTTATTAGCAATTCATTTTGTAAATATTTCATAATATGACATAAACAAATAAAAGTATTTAAAAAAAATATGCTGATCTTATATTATGAAAATAATATGATTTATAACTTATATAACTCATCGGTTCATAGAAGTTTGTAGTAATTTTACCCGTATAAGTCACTTTTGAACACTTCCAACGAATATTTGATTTAATTATTTTTAAAACGGTATATTTATACCCATATTTAAAATTTTTTGGATTTAGTTAAGTAGTTTGGTTTTGGTTCGTAGTATATTTTAGAGTGTATAGATAAATAGGTTATGTTCTATTGTGTCATCGACGAATTCATGTTTCATACTGATTGCAATCACGATTCGTGATATAAAGTTTTAAACAATTTTATTTCATTTTAACTTGTAAAATATATTTCTCGGTTTTTTTATACCATACAAAGTGTCCACGATCAATTTTTACCAATTTATTATCATCGTATAAAGTATCTGCAATCGATTTTTACCAATTTATTTTCACCATAAAAATTGTCCGTGATATACCTACAATTTAAACAATAGATAGGACAAAGTAACCATTTACCATACATATTATACACACAAAAAATAGAAATCATCTTAAAAATCAATAAGCTTTGCTCAGAATCTAAAACAATTTTAAAAAAAAAGGTAGGCAAATGGTTACCACCCTACTGTACATTAGGTTCGAGTCAGTCACTGTAATAGCTGTATTACATTTTAATTCAATAATATATCATTGTATAGAAAAAGCAATTCTGAGCGGTGGACTGCGGAAAGGGATATCGTTAAACATAAAAGGTCGGAATGAGAAATTTGCGGTAAAACTAGCTTTTTATACTATACTCACCCATTTATTATTTAACGACGTTAAAAATATGTTTTTATGTTTATTCATTTTTTTTTTTATAGGCAATCGAATTACACTGTTATAATTTGTAATCATTAAATGTTTTAGATTTTTTTGGTTTTATACATTTTATATTAAAAAACGTTCATATTTATTATTTGTGTTTAAAATAATTATTAAGTAACCACAAAAGTACTCAAGTGAACATACCATGTGTTATTAAGAAAATAATAAATACCAATGAATATAACTATACATAGTATATAGGTATTACTTATAGAACAAATAGTTTTAATTTAACGTTCGAGGATGTCAACAAAAAGAAAGCGGTTGAACTGAAAAGGACCGGATGGTGTTAATAATCCATATGTTGACACTTGATAGTTGACAGATTTAAGGGTAGAAGTACCTAAAATGTAATATGTATTTCAATAACAAACCATCATGATATACATCTGGCACTCTAACACATTTTAAAACTCCATCATCGACTGATTATAGTCTATACAATTTGACTTACATAATACACATAGCTATATGTAAGAGTATAGTTAGATAAGTAATATTGAAATTAGCTGTTATAAGTTGGTATACTAACAATGTTATAATATGCATGTAAACCATACAATACACATTTTATAAGTAGTGTGGAACCCAATATTATTGGCTACATTTCAATTTATCATAATATGTTATATATATATATATATACATATATATACATTATTCTTGTAGTGAGAAATTAATTATTATTTTTTGGAAATTGGCCAAATATATTTTAGTAAACTTACTTTTAATGACCACTGAATATTATACAAGTTTAAAAACTTTCGAGATACGCCGAGAAATTAATATCTATATCATTAGCCATTTTAATTTTTTTTATATTTTTCCAAATTCGGTACACCAACAACTAATAAGTTAATTTAGGCACCGAAAGCCATTGCCGACAGAATTATAAAATATTATATTATAAAGTATATCACGGACAATTAATAATAAAATAATAATAACTAAGGCAAATTATAATCTATTGATACTATGATGTAATACATACTAATATATTACATTAAAATTAAAACTACGAATATAATAAATAAAAATATATCTTTCCCGGAAGTATTAGAACAATTGGTAATTGCTTAAAACTTATAAGACATAAATCACTATAATTATCAAATATTTCATACTCCAAATTTTGAAAATTTTAAAAATGTATTGTGTAATTCTACTTCTATTTAATTACTTAATTTTTATTTTTATTACTCATCAATCAATCAATGACTAAAATAGACTAAAAATGCAATCACTTTATTCAAAATCCCAGTTTTTTTTCTAAAAAAATAAAAATACATATCAAAGGATTCGGTAGGCTTCCTTCAAGGTTCCAAACTTTATATAATAAAAATAAAAGCATGATATAATCCTATAGTTATGAGTAGGTACCTATTAAATTTGTTTTCTTACGGATTCCAATTTTATCCACGAATAGCAACATTTTAAATGTGCGAAATTGAATATTTATTTATTATATAGTATTACACAGAATATTTATATTATTATTTTTTCTATGAAAGTATAACCCCTAAAAGAATTTCAGCAGGGAGAGGGGTCAAAATGGATATTGTCGGCTGTATCATATTGGTAATAATCAATAATGTATAAGTATTATGACATTGGTCACGGTAGTTGTTTTTTTCGTATCAATGTATTTACGAATAAGTGAAGACCTCTTCACCTGCAGCCTGCAGGTCATTGTGACGCTGCACTATGCAATAACATTAACCTGCAAACACTTCAAATCCTCTGCAATCGTACCACTTAACATTATATACAGAGGTATAGTCGGCTGCAATTATTATTGTTTGAATTTTATTCGGTGTTTCCATGTCATCGGGTATTAGTGCGTGTAAACGAAAACGCATATCTATCCACCTATATACGATGTATAAAATGTCGAGAGTAAGTACGTAGTATAAGCAGTATACCCACGCCTGAGTAAAACATTTTGAGGCGCCCTGGACACACGAGTTTTCCAACCCCGCCCACTTTCACGGTGCAATGGACACACGAAATAACAAAGTACCTACGTATAATACACGTGTATTATAGACAAGACGGGTATGCTGTTGAAGTCGTTGGACGACCGACGATAACTACGGGATGCGGCACGTCGGTGTGTCTCTTTGTCCGGCGGAATCACGAAGACGACGACGGGATGCCAATAATAATGTGCGCCGTGCGCGATTTTATCACCACGACCGTGTAACCACCGCCGCGGCCGATTACCTATATAGAGTGAGGTAGTCGTGTGAATGAATAATTATAAAATTATTTTTATCTAAATCATGAACCTACCGTTCTAGGAAGATACTATGTATTAAATAATGATTAAATAAAATAGAACGCGCAAGGGTTACGGTCTTGTACTCTTGTCCAAACACATGGACCATCCGATTCCCGAACCCCATTCGTCGATTCCAGTCTGTACATAATGTTTAAATATTATTGTTAGAATGATATAAATAGTACCTACTCTAAACATTAAAACAAATAGCCAGTCGTGAGAACTGAGTTACACTTGAGAAGCTGCGGAACAGTATACTTGTGAGTTGTAAGAAATGTTTAGCCTTTTAGGATATACCGACGTTACAATATTATCATACCTAGACGGTTAAATTGAATTAAAACCCTATGATAATGCTTACGTTTATTTTATATATTGATCATAATTTCATGAGGCAAAAGATAGTTACACAAAAAAAAGTTTATAATGTATACAACACGATTAATAAATATTTACATAATTGTGAGTTTATATCTTTAAATAACTAATAAATTTTTGTTTTATATCATAAAAAAATAAGTTTTACTTACCTTAATCATAAGATAAAATCCGTTTTTAAGTAGATAGCAATATATTATTTATAGCTTGAATTCGTTTGATTCTGATATTCAATATCAAAAAATAATTTTAATTTTAAAAAACTCCAATTTTATGAGTTAAGGAAAACTAGAAATAATTTCCAGTTATTTCTCGGCATCCGCGGATCACATAATTGTTGTTATATAGGAATCCATAACATTTTTTAATCATACAATTAATACATAAAATATTTTCAGCAACATATTTAAATATATATATATAAAGTACCCATTACGATGTAATTATTATAGAATAAAACAATTATATTATCCTGTGATATGATACAGGATGTAATATATTAAATATGAATAAAATAATTATATTCTACATTATTTAAAATTAAAATATTATTTTTAATTTTTAATTTTAAACTATCAAATTGGTGATAAATAATTACTAATTATACTAGTCTATATATTCATTTAATAATAGTTAATAGTTAATGTATATAAATTTTCATAACCAACAAATTTATGTTTAGTAATTAATAATTACTATTTAAATAATTTCAAATAAAATAAAATAGGTTCCTTTTAAAGAAGACAAGTATTGTATGTATCTACTATATCGTGTTTATTTTCTATTACATATTACAGTCTCAATATTTTCTTACACATAATTATATTTAACAACGATTAGGAAATAAATTAAAAAGTTGTCCAGAGATGTTGATGAAGATTTGTAAGTAAACTTGAAGGATTGTGTAAAACCGGTTGTCAGATTTGGTACAGTGGCGAGTTATTTAGTATATTAATCAAAGTACAAAGGTGGACTACACGCCCTCGCACTGCTGTTTGGCAATAAAAGTACAGCAAAAGATGCAGCGGTTCAATTTTTGCTATTAGTATCTAAACCCTCGGGCACGCGCTTGAACACTTGTAGTTCGTATCACAAGAGTTTACTACACTCGCGCACCTTGTACTTTCTATTACCTCCCACGCACAATGGATCGTTTATATTTTTACAAGCTTCCAATGTCCCACTTTTACTTTTCGTCGTTTAAATAATGATTTGTTTTTCACCTTCGTGTATTACCTATAAATTACATTAGGCAAATAAGGACAAGGACAGATAATAAATAAAAATACCAAACAATTACATATACATTTATATATTTTTTCATCTCCTCTTCATCAATATTTAAAACTCTACTTAGGACAGAATATAAAAAAAAGTATTTACAAAATACAAATACAATATATACTTATATATATTTAAAAATACTATATATAAGTACACTAAATTGGATGATCACAATAAGTAAATAACAACATGATAAAGGTCGACTATATATATATATATATTTTTAGTAAACATTCCTATTAAAATTAATCTATTAATGAGATTTAGTTTTGTCTGTACAACCAGGGAAATTCTTTTATTTTATTTTTTTTAACTCAAAGGAACTCATTTAAATTCAAATTGAAACTAAGGCAAGAAGCAATTCTACTAAATAAGTCATAAAATCCTAATAATAGTTGATACTCAAGTTAATAAAATATCTGAAACAAAAACAATACTATAATTTGTTTAATATAACAGAGGATACTGTTAATATGATTATATTATCACAAATAATAATGGATTAATTTAAAAAAAAAAAGAAAAATTCAATAATGTGAGTAGAATTTGATTTCATAAAAGTAGTCTCATTACTTTCTTTTCAAGAAACATCTTAAGGACATTATTCTATTAGCTAGTAATCATATCAAGCAGTATTTACTATATTAATTATCATTACAGTCCGTATTTTGGCTTCTTTTTAATTTATCAGAAATTCATAACATGAGTACCAATATAGATGGATTTATGGAAAAATATTTAACCCGGGACGGATATCATTGTTTTAACAATAATAAATAGTTTTAAAAATATGAATGTTATAAAATTGTTACTAGGTAGACATTTTATAAGTACCTATGTAAAAAAAAAAAAAATGGCACAGACATGTTAGTAAAAAAAATAAAGAAGCTAAACAATTCTTTTTAAGGATTAAATAAATGTGTTAAGTATAGGCCAATTGTATTGTTTGTTCAATAAAAAGTATATGATGTAAAATCAATGTTAAGAGTTTTTACCTCTTAATATTTTAAATACATCAACTATTATACTGATACTATTCTTGGCCCCTAAGAAATAAAGCAGTCTTTGAAAAAAAAAAATCATAGGTAATAAGAAACGAAAATGTTATATAATGGAATGTTGTTTAAGCTAAAGGAACACATTAAATTTAAACAGAAAAAATTACATAAATATTCTATGTACAAAAATAAAAAAATAAAAAAGAATAGTCAACTTATTTAGGGTCTATTTATTAAGTACAACAGTTATCCCTGTGATGATGAATTTTGATCGGATACATCTGATCTTCTGAATTACGTTCATCAGCTAGTGATCTAAACCTAACAAATCCATTTTCAGCAACTAACATGGACGGTGAAGGCTGTATGGCTGCTCTTTCTGCATACGCGTACATACTTCTAGAGTCATCATCCATTCGTTTTAATGATCTCCTTTCAGTAGTGTGCGCAAATAACTGATGGTTAGCTAATGGAGGACCACCCATTGAGTATGTGTCATCATATATGTGTTTACCCGTACGTAATGTATAATTGTGTACAGCTTGATTGGCACTGCAGATGGCTGGATAAATGTCATCTGATGGTGGATCACTCCGGGAAACAGTACCACGACATGGAAACAATGTTAAGCCGGATTGATTTTGAGCTTCTTTTTCGCTAGTATATCTTAGTGGCTGTATGGATGCCCAAAATATCAAAAAACATGATGATATCTCAATCACACGTACAGAGAACTGATAACCCCACCATAACCATGGGTTTGGCTGATCTTTACCCAGCATTTCATAGACACCAACCATACCATATAATTGAACTGATGCCATAAGAAGACTCAGCATACTAGTGGCCAATGTCACACGTACAGAATGAGCCAAAGTAGGGCGATGTTCATGGAAGCTAGCTCCAAATATAGTTCCTTGTTTTCTTAAGGAAGCATTAGTCATAGATCTATATAAACATACATAGGTCACTCCAAGTATCACACATAATAGAATGTAGATACATTTTGATACTAATGAAAGTATATGAGCTTCTGAATAAAACAATACAATAATACAAAATGCCATATAGCAACAAATAAATATTGCTAATAATGATGATTTTTGTAAATTATAAAAAATTGTTTTTACATCAGTGGCTCGCAACAGAAACAAAAATAAAACTGAGTATACAGTCAACAAGAGTGGGAATACTATGTTTAAAGCCAACCCAGACACTTGAATAGATAATGTTCCGTTTACGTTATATGGATCATATAACAAATAAGCACTCCTTACACAGCCTATGATTATTAATAAACCATGTATAGTTACAAAGTAACCACATGTTAATAATTTTTTAAATGCTCTTATCCTTGCTATACTAACCATTGAACAAAATACCAATATTAGGAAAAGTATAGCAATTAAATAAACATGAACATCCCAAAAAACTCCAAGAATATACCTGGCTCTTGGTTCAGGATGATCTGGCATAGATACAATTTCTGGATGTGATTCAGGTATATCAACATCATTTTTTGACTCTGTTACTTGTTGCTCCTTAAATATTGAAGGTTCATTTTCAGTTGTTTCTTCAGATGTCGTTTCATATACTTGTGATGAAGATGTGGTTTCGATTGGCTGAACAGTTCGTTGTGTGGGCTTGGGAACTTCTTGTTTTACAGTTCGAGATGGTTTAAGATCCTGGTCAAAATTTGGTTTATCGTTTCCTAATAATCCATCCATTTTCTTGCCTGTATCATCAAACAATATTCTAAAAACATTTGGGGTTGACAAGTTTTGTACTTGCTGTACCACAATACTATAAGTATCATTAAGGCCTTTGAATCCATTGACTGCTGTAGTACTAGTTGGTTCAGAATAAGTAGATTCTGGCACTCTTAACTTATTTAAACTAGGTGTATTAATTGTCTTCTTTTTTGTATCTGCTACTGGAACATCTACAGGTCTGATAGGTATAAATTCTTTCTCAAATTTTGCCTGCACAATTCCTGGCCGCCTAGTTTGCAATGGCTTTTCTGAATTACTACCCCTAAGTGTAGGTTTATCAGCAAATGGGTTGAACCGCTCTGGGGGTAGGGGTGGCGTAAAAGTGTTTCGATCTGGAGGATTATATGCAGGTATTAGACGATTAGTTGGACTAGTCACGTGCTGCTGTTGCTGAGACGAATTTGTCCGTGAAGCACGAGAGCCCGATCCTGGCTTTGACGCTAGCGTCTTATTGAACAGCTCATAGTCTACACCATCGGTTAACACCCGTCTGTCTAATACACTCATGTCATGATCGAACATTTGTGCATTGCTGTCAGACACCAGGAGCCAAAGCATTGCAGCAAGCAATACCTGTAGCATGACTGGTCGCATTTGCGTGATATCAGATACAGACTCCTTTCATTATTATAATGCTGTTGATTTAGGTTTTATTTTTAAAAAAACACTAACTCGGCCGTGTACTTAAATGTAACATGTCAACTTACGATAATACCCTGGACATTATAAGACGGCCGGGTTCACAGGTGTCGGCGGCGCACTGGATACCGATGCAATCCTTTGTCATGATACGCTGTCGACACGACCACGGTAGCTCCTAAGTGTGTCAACACATTTTTACATCAAAACTCGCGCACACCACGTCGTACTATGTTCGAACGATCACGACAGACGAATGTACAAGATTGTACGAACGATACGGCACCAACCAAATTCACACTCACGAACAGTGAACATACGCCCGGAAACAATAAACATTCCTAATAAACCATTACGTCTGGTGCGCCAGCCATTTGCATTTTGTTATAATGAATTTCCCAAAGACCTCATAATAATCATATGGTTCATGGATGTTATAAACAAACACATTAAAATCGATATAAAAATGTTACCCTTTATTTGTCTAAAAACATTGAAATAAATGAAAAAAAAAATCATCTCATATTTTATTTATTGTTTATTAGTCTATAATTAATAATTAGATACATTAATTGTTTATTAATATTAGAAAAATAATTCCTAGGTTGCTAACTTGAATATGATAAGCGAATATGCTATAGAATATAGATACTTGGTATTATTATTATTATTATTATTAATATGATCTCGGTTTAGTATTGATAAAGGAATAAATTTTGGTCTGTAGCCCTTAGCGCTGGTGCTGTAAACACATAAATGAAATACTGTTACTGTTATCAGTCATTTAAAAAAAAATATTTAATATTAGGTTTTCCGACTTAGACCAGTTAGAATAATTTAGAAATTTACATTATGATTTTGAGATTTGAATGTTAAAATATACTTTTTTTTATTTACAATTACTTAAATCTATTTGTTTTTAATACTGATTAGCCAAAAATAAGCTAATTATGAGTAAAAGACCGAGAACGGAACCATCAACTAATGGTCAAGAAGACATTTGGGGTGATGATTTTACTTACGATGAAGTAAATTCTATTGTCAACATTGAATCATTAGCATCACAATCACATTTTTCTGGTGAGTAATTTAGTACTAAATTTTATTTTTAATTTAATGTTTATCCAAACAACTCAGCTAGTCATTTTCCTCAAAATTAATATAGTTTTATGGTTTTTTGGTATCCAAAATAATGTTTAATTATTTATAGCATTTACATTTTATATTTATGTGTATAATGTTGTATTTTACAATTTAAAATTATGTAAATATGTTTTGTTCAATTTAGATATATCTTCCTTTATGTTTCAGTCAGTTTAAATCATCCTGGTAAGCAAAAAGACAATCAAATTAGAGAAGGAGAGATAAAAAATTTAAAGAATAAAATTAAACAATTAGAAATTCAACTAAGCAATACAAAACAAGAAAATGATGATAAATTTAAAAATATGAAACATATTATAGATTGTAAAGATACAGAGCTTAAATTTCAGGTTGGTTACTTATAAATTTAAATGTCACTAATATTATTATACTGCAATACTTATTATTTTTGATAGCAACAAGAAATGACTTCTCTTAAAAATAAGATAAAAGAAATGAAGATAATTAACAAAAATATCCCTCAGAAAAATGTATCATTTAGCTGTATGAAAACTGGAAGTAACTCAACTTTATTGTAAGAAAAAAAAAAATTACTTTAATTATTACCGTAAAATGGGGCGAATAGGAACGGTTTTTGAGGTTTTTTTTGCAATAAAACCTTCAGTTTAAAAGATTTTTTTTTTTTGGAAGTTGTTTTGAAAGGGATGAACAATGGGGCAGTTTTGAGATAAAAAATAATTACTCTATGTCCAAAAGTTATTTTTTAAAAAATGTTCTAAAACGTGTTCCTATTTACCCATCGATGGGGTGAATAGGAACACTAATGTAATTTATGAATGTATTCCTATTATACCAAGTATTGAGGAGATAGGAACTTAATAAACATTTTTAAAAAATTAAAAACAATATTTTTAAGTGAAAATGTTATTTAAAAAAAATATTTAATGAAAATTATACGTCATACCTTTAAAAAATAAAATGCTTAAAAAAATTCAACTGAAATTGACATTGAATAATTATAATATATAACCTTTTTAAATTACAAATTAACAATTTAGTGTTTAATTAACATAAAATAAAATCCTTATAAACTTAAATTTAAAACAAAATTAATCTTTAATACAATAAAACATTTTATCCAAACGTAAAAAATATATTTAAAAATATCTTTACTAACTTCAGTTTTAAACTCTTCAAACATGAGTATTGTATACCTTATAGGAACCTACTTACCATTCACTGTAATCAATTTCGAACTTCATTAAACCCCTTCTTTTAAGTTCTGGATGTTTTAATATACCTACAACATCAATTTTATCGATCCAATAGATATCTTCATGTTCTGGAAATACAAACATTTTTCCCGAGTCTAATTTAGTAGGGCGAAATTTTAAAAAAGATACTTTAACTTTTGTTTTTTCTATTTCTAAAATCGTACCAATAAATAAAATTGTTTTTGTTGAACATTGTTTTGATTCAGTACTATTCGTGAAATCTCCTACTATCCAATCATTTACTTTTAATTCTGTAGTAATTTTTAAAACACCTTTCAAGACTTTATCATTTCTTTTTATGTTAGAGGCAGATCGCATAGGTTCGTCATCATCTTCATCAGAACCATTCCAATCTGAACCAATTATAATTCTATCTTCAGAACTATTTCCATCATCCGATTTATTTATATTGTCGTCTTCATTTACCGAAATTTCACTGTCATTACTATCATTCTGATTGTCAACTTCAACACTTTGGCCCGGTTCAATCTTCATCCGTTGTCGTTTTTTTAATGACTTTTTCTCCGTGCAAGGGTAACGCATACTTTTCAAAATTGACACCAAGGAATCATTAACTACCTCAGTTTCAGAATCAAGATTGTCATTCTCATTTGATTCAGGAGGAAGCATATTCAAAACTGGTTGTCTATCTAAAGGAATGATTCCACATTTTTTAAAGCCCGCTTTTATATTATCAACTTGATTTCCTTCAATTCGTTTCATTAATTTATTTAACAGTTGCGGAAATTGGTCTTTAGGTATAGAGCACTCTCTACTACCTTTACCCATTTTCCATTTTGTTAAAATTTCACGCCAAGCAAGTTTCATCGGACGAAAAAAAGCAACATCAAGCGGTTGAGTGATGTGCGTTGAATTTGGGGGCAAAAACACAAATTCAATATTATATTTCGAACAAGCCCTAATTCCTTGCATAGTGAGGTGGGTGGATAAATTGTCACCAATTATTACTTTTTTACCTGGTTTGTTTTTAACGAACGGTATAACTATTTTCAGTAACCAATCTTCAAAACATTGAACATCAAACCACCCTGATTTACTTCTATTATACCTAGAATTTGGAGGTCCTCCCTTGATCCAAGAATCGTACATATGAATTGCCTTGTAAACTGTGTAAGTTGGTAGAGTTCTCCAGTTCCAGTACAGGCAAACATAATAGATGTCGAGGCCTTACTTGAATTCATCACTCTTTCTGGATACTTGCACCCTCTTTTAGTAATAATTTTAACACGACCAGGGTCATCGCTCAGATTGGTTTCGTCGTAGTTTATAATATTTTCTGGCAAAACGTTTTCTAAAGATTTTTCTAAATTATCAAAGTACGAATTTATTATTTCTCTACTCACCTGTGTTCTTGCACGTTTTATATTTTGACACAGTCGCTGACTTAAAATATCTCTGTGACGTTGTAAAAACGATACTGCGAAATCATTGCCAGGCATGTTACCTTTAAATATTTTTATTGTTTTTCCTTTTCTGTCTAAATATGCTTTTACTATACACCTCAAGTCAAATGATGTTAAAGGGTATCCCCATGTTGAACATACAATTAACTGTTCAGCTAACATTTTTTCGGTTTCATTTGACAGAACACTCTGGCCCCCTTGTCTTTTCATTTGTCTATTGGGATGATTTTTTTTAAATTTATTGTGCCTATGCAGTACCGTTGTAGGAATATTATGTTTTTTTGAACAAGCTCTGAAAGTTAAACCATTTTCTAAATCTACTAAAGCAAGTTTAATTTGATTTTCAGAGTATTTTGTGTAAGGTTTTTGGCGTACAGTTCTTTTGTACGTACGAGCCATTTTCACCACGGCTATTAATCAACAACAATAAAATTATAAAATTATATTTTACAAATAATTAAAAAATAGTCAAATGAATAAATAACAAGATTTTTAAAAATTAAAATTGATACCGACGTATAAATATGCCCTAAAATTCTCTTTTAAAATCTAGATTATTAGTGTTCCTATTCACCCGATTTTGTTCGTAAATATGTGTTATACAATTTCAGTCTCCGTAAAATAGTCAATTCTTGACACACATTTAAGAAAAGTGTCTAAATCGTCATCAATATGTGTCTAGTATTAGAATAATATATTATAAGTAACTTACTTTTAATTTAAATATGTAAACCCGGAGAAGTTTTTCACTTAATAAAAACGTGCGTTTAAAATCATAATTGATAATGTGTTATCATTGGAGGTAAACAGTTATCATCCAGTTACAAATATAATAAAATTGATCTAAAATACCCGTAGTACCAAACGACATTAGTACTAATGCTATCTGTTAAATATTCGTGATAAGAGAACAATAAAACAAATCTTTTTCCGAGTTTGTTCCTATTGCACCTTCAGTTCCTATTCGCCCCTTTTGACGGTACTAATTTTAAAAATATTTAGGCATAATGCTTCAGAACATAATATAAAAAAAAATACATCAACTCAAACAATGAATAATGAACAATACCTATTTATAAGGGATCATTTTCCTGAAATAAATAAAAGTTATGAAAAGCTAAAAAAATGTTTATATCCTGACTTACTTGGTATTCAAAGTAATCAAAATGGTAAAATATTTTTATTTATGAACTAAGTATGTGAACCATCTTCCTTTAAAACATTTTTTATTTTTTCATTTACTAGATGTAAGAACTTTAAGTGCAATACAAGATTGTCATTTAATTTTAGCTAAATTAATGGTGTTAGAAACTTTTGATGAATTTCAATCTTACTCATTAATTGAATTGGTAAATTTAATAAAAAAAACTTATTATAATTTATTTATTAAAAAATGTAGTTATTTTAATTATTCTATTTTTTTTTTTTTTTTGCAGTTGTTTGAAAACTGTAAACATATTTTAGAATCTACAGTTGAAATACTTCAAGAGACAATAGAGGATGAGGATTTTGTCCACAGAGAAAAACAATTAATTTATAATTACTTAAATTTGAATAAACAATACTTGAAAAATAGGTTTTCTATGTAAGATGGTTATTTTAATAGATATTTTAATTTAGACAACTTGGGGTTTTTTATTAAATATTTTTTTTTAGGTTTGATCTACAATTCTCTCATTTATTAGATTGCATATCAGTATTAACTACTATTTCTACTATTGTTCCAAGAATTATTATGAATCATTCAAATAACTTATTTCAAACAGTTGTACAATTTTTACAACTAATTGGTTCACAAGTAATATTTATTTACTTTGAATAATTTTGGTTTTAATTATCTAATTATTTTGTAATTTTATTGATATAGAGTCGTACCTTAGAATATGTTTCTGTAATTATAGCATTGATAAAGTTTCTTACAAATTTATGTAGTTGTAATTGGGAAATAACAAAACAAAAGTAAGTTATAAAATAATTAAAACATAATTTTATTTATTTTTATGTTATGATCACTAGGCAATTAGACATTTATGATATAATTAAAGAAATAGTATTCTGTCGCCCATGCATTAACATTATACGAGAACTAATCAATCTGTTAAGCAAAATTTCTATTTATACAGAGATAACAGACAACCTATGTCAATTATCTGATAATTTAAGTAAGTTTTAAAATTTAGTGATACCTAAAAATTATTTAGAATTATAAAGATAATTGAGTATCATGTTTCTGTATTCATTTTTTTTTTTTTTTTAATGTTTATTGAATTAAATAATCTTAAATTGCTATACATTTTTATACTAACTGATTACTGTTAACTAATAAGTAAAGTATTACTATTTTATTATTTAAAATCACATATTTAAAACCTTTTATATTTCATAAAATGAAATTTATTTATATGAACTTTATTAAATATTATTATTGTATTTTTAAAATTTAAATTAATTTTTATAATAAGTAGTTTAGTTTTCAATATTAAATATTGATATTTACACAAATTACAATCAATCTAGCTTATTAATTAAATTTAATGTTTTTTACTTTTTATTCTAAATAATAGACAATGTTAGTATAACATTAAAGTAGAATATTAATTTAAAAAAAAAATTTACAAGTTTATATTGCTAATGACCTAAAATAAAATAAACTATACACCCCTTATTTAAAAAATTAAAATACCTAAATGTCTTATTGTTGAATATCAAAACATTTATGATTAATACATTTGTATTTATTTATTTTTAGCTCCTAAAACATTTATTCTATCTGACAGAATTAGTACATTTACAACAGGTAGACACTGTACATTATTTTGTAATTTATTTAAAAAATAATTTTGTGATTATTAATTTAGGAACATGTGTTCTTCGTGTCCTTTGTCTTCAATTAGAACTTCTCAAACACAGCAATCATCTTATTACAAACTATTTATATTTTGTGTATATGCTTTTAAATAGTACACATGTACCTAAATGGATGCACAAAATACCAAATAAAACATGTGATTGTACTGCATCATTTATAGATTTAACTATTCAATGTTTATACACTGTTTTCAATATTTATGAAAAAGGTAAATTTGGCCAGGAAAATTTTTCTAAAAATTAATTTTATTTATTTACATGTTAATTATTTAGGAAGAGAATCTTGTGACACTGATTTATTGAAACTTGTGGAAGAAATTGTTGAAAATAGTTATTCTATATTATATCGTTTGGGAAAGTTAGACGAAGAATTTCGTACTCACATAAGTAAATGTAAGGGTCGTTATGATGTTATTGTTCGGAAAATTCAAAAGCTTGAATTTGACAAATCAAACAGTAAGAGACACTTATATTTTTGTTAAATTAGTTAAAATAATATTAATATTTGTATTCATAAAGAATTTTTAGTAAAAGAATTGAAAAAATTTGAATTCAAATCATTAACACATAGTCAATACAATTCTTCTGTAATTTATGAAGTATTTCCGATTGATAAACCAAAGTTTACACAAAAATCACAATACCAATTTGATGAACCTAATAAACAAATTGTTGAAAATAATTAATGAAATAATCAACAATGCATAAATTAGATCATATAGGAGCAATATGCAGGTATGTATAATAATTATAAGTAATTGTAATACCTTAACAAAATATAGAATAAAAATATTTATTATAATTGTTATTCAATAAGCTCTTCTTCATCACTAAAGTATGGATTTTTACGGTATACTTTTTTATTTTTATGTATTTCTTCAACTTTTTTAGATAAGTCAATATTATTTTCTTGCTGAAAAAAATAAAATAAAAATGACCAAAATATAGATTAGTTTATATTAATAATGCTTACTTCCTCATGTATTACTGCACTTAATGTCTCCATATGAGATTTATCACATTCTTCTTCATCGTTATATCTTTCTTTATAAGTTTTAGTTTTATCATAAAACTCTGTATCCTCTTCTGAGCTAGGATAAGAATCTTGATGCTTTAACAAAAAATTAATAAATCATTTAAAATATGCATTAATTTATTATTCGTTAAATAAAATATTTTTTTTTACTTTGCTACATCCTTCATTACTATTTAAATTTCTCTTTTTTTTTTTTTTAGGTGGAGGCTGTCGTTCACCCAAACAATTTTCAGGACATTTGTAACTAAGATGGCCTTCTTTGCCACATTCATAACAAAAACTTTTGTCTGTATACTGACGTTTCCTGATAAATTCTGTACTACGGCCATTATCTAGTGCAATAGAACTTTTTAATGTTCGTCCAAACATCTAAGACACAAATTATAGTAATTGTTTATTAAAAGGTATAGATAGGTTAAAAATTTAATGATAAAATAATATTTTTACTTGTATGCCATTTGTAGATTTAACACAATCGTTAGCTTCATTTTGATTAAGAAATAATACAAATGCCACTCCTTTACTTTGGCGAGTTGTTTTATCTTTAACTATAGTAACTCTAATATAATAAGATTATATTAATCATAAATTCAAGTGATTTATATTTTTAATGGTGCAGAATTAAGGTTTAAAATGATTGCATATTTATCAATTATTGATATTTTTATACCATTGTTTTTTTTTTTTTTTAAATTTATTGATTTTATGAATAAAATAAATTTATAATATTAGATACCTTTGATTTACTTATATAGTTACCAATTTTTAATTAAATATTTATCCATTGCTGATGGAAGTTTTTAAGGAATTAGTCTTATAAATTAAAATAATTTACAAAATACAAAATAATGAATCTTTTTCAATTCAAAAGTGGATCTAACTCGGAAATATTGGGTAGGGCCAAGTCCAAATTTTCTCTGTTGTTAAATTAATTTTATAAAAAATATAAATTTATATAATTTGTTATCAAATAATATTTATGTACTTGTTTTTTACTATATTTTTAAAGTATTAACCTATATTAAAATTGTTTTTATTTTTTTTTCTTATTGTCTAGCAAAACTTGTTTTCATAATATCATTTTATAGTATTTTAAAATTATCTTAAGTTACAGTATACTCTACTTTAAAAGTAAAAAAAAAAAAATACATTTTACTAATTTGACTCTTAAAAGATTAACAAAGATAATTGATTTAATGTTTTCTAATAGTTGAATAGATATTTATTGTTTGGTTATTTGAAATTAACTTATTAATAATTTAAACAATGCGACTAAAATATTATATTTTCATATATTATACATCATAACTCATGAGTAGGGTGCAGATTTATATGTATTTAAAACTCAAAAATATGTACATATATATGTTTATTTTTATTCAAATATGTAATTACAAATATAAGATATGTAACAAAAAATTATGATTAAAAAAATTATTAATTAATAATTATATAAATTAGTAAAGTAAACTACTGTTTATATTACTATTTATTCAATATTAGGTTCCTCGTCGTTAGTAAAACAGTGAGCAACCATATACTTTTTTAAGTTTTCTAATGTAAATCGACTTCGATTGAGGCATTATATGTTCTTGTAATGACTAAAGGACCTTTTAACGTCTACAGATGTTAAAAGTACAAATTTGCAGTATATTTTTATACAGATTTAACAGTGACAACAGTGATTTTTTCAATATAGCGGAATATTTAACAAAAATATGTAATAAAAGTAAATTATCTAAGAATATATAAAAATATGTAGCATCAATCATAACTTTAAACATTCAGATAGTTCTGAAACATATTTTTATAGAAGAATCGTTTGATTACCACCATTCATGACAAATATGTATTTACATATAAATCCGCACTCTACTCATGAGTATTACTGTTGAGTAGTTTCTTAAATCAAATTAATTCATGTATAAAAATATAACCTATAATACATATGCTTATTTTAAATACCATCACAGATTGCATATTTCATAAAAAAAATAAATAAATAAATAAATAAATATTAAACATTGTTTATTACTATAATATTTTAGGTTTAAATACATTTTAATTTTGTTTTGAAGCCTGTTTTTCTGGGAAATTTACTTTCTAAAAGGATGAGCAAATGAGTATCACTCTGCTAAATGTTAGATATCAAATAGAACACTATAATGGGCATGTTAAATTTGAATTCTATTATTAAGTCATTGCATATGAAAAATGATTCAGGGTGAAGACTGAAGACAGTTTATCAGCCTTTATTACTAAATAATATTTCTTAGTATAGAATATGTAAGACTATAGCATCACTTGTTACCAAAACTTTGATTAAACAATGTTAAATAAAAAATTTAAAAAAAACACTTAAGTTAGATTCGCTAAAATAATATGTATTGAATAATTAATACATTAGAATTATTTCAATATAACCATAAGATTGGTTGATCGTTTGATAAGTATTTAGGTTTAAAAATAATTTTAATAATACATAGTTGGTTTTTTGTTTGTTCTACAATAACTCAAAAAACATAAAAACAAAGTTAACACATTTTCATAAAAAATTAATTCAGTATGGGGTTACAGGTATAAAAAGCTTAAAAATTAATGGATTTAATTATCCATGACACCTTATTATTTATTGTTGGTTCTGTATGGCAAATCACAAAAATATTTATTTATAAATTAGTTTTAAAAAAGTTTTAGTTTGTGGGTAATATTTTTATATTATTGTGTACTTAAACTTTTAAGACATCAGTCTCATAAGAAAAAATTCGTTTTCACACGTATATACCTACTTAACTATTTTTCCATATTTCTCAAATACTTTATGTAAATCGTTGTTTGTTAAATTGAATGGCAGATTCGAAACATATACCGTACATTTGCTTGGAGCTAATTTATTCATAATAAATGATAATTAAAAATAAAAATGTTTATATCATTTAATAGAATATTTTAGGATAATTTTAAACTTTAAACATAAGAAAAAAATTGTAACTATTAAAAGCGACCTGCGAGTAGCGAGTGCCGACTACCGACTGCAACTGACAACTGATAAGAATGATAAGATACGGGAATCTGCAAATTTCGGAGTCCGATGCAGATTAAAAACTACTTCTAAAATACTTTAGAGCATCAATTCTTAACCTTTAGTAGATCACGAACCCCCATAACAATTTTTTTTCGAATACCTACTGTTCTTTAACAATACGTCACTTATTGATGCGTTTTATGTGTTAAGGCTACCGCAAACCCCCAACGTGAGTATCATGGGGCCGCAGACCACGGTAGTAGGAAAATAAGCTAAAGACAAAAAAGCCACAGGAAAAAAAGACAAATTGTTACTTATTTATTAATTGTTAAAATAATGGTAATTAAGTATTTTTATTACATATTATCATATCCAAGTTACGTTATTTTATAAATAATTAAATAATACCTAAAGATAATTTATTCTAATACCTAGACTTAACCTTACAAAACCATATTAAATTATTTTACTATTAAAATACACCTCCCAAAATGTTAAATAATTCGGCAAATTCGACAATAAATTCCGAACCCTGTTTATCATCTATTGGTATATCCAATATATGAGAAATTAAAAACACGCAACTTGTAATATTTAATATAATAAAAATATTTAATTACCATTACTTAAACAATTTATAAATATAAAATAAGTAACAATATGTCTTTTTTTCTCTGGCATTTTTTTCTTTTAATTTTTTTTCCTAGATTCGCGGACCACAGGTTAAGAACCGGTGCTTTAGAGTACCTACACACTTGACACTACAACATTATTATATAGCACGGTGCAGTAGCAGGCTATTATCGGTGATACCTTCTGATTTAAAATTTGGTATCCTCTTCATTAATTATATATGTACTTAATTAATGTTCTCATGAACATCAGTGTGAGGATCACGACCGGCCGGACCGAAAAAAAAAACAGGTAGCTTCTGCCAGAATGTGTTATAAAAGTACCTAGTACTAATAGTAGTCATACTTATTTTAGTCATTTTACATGACGCCATAAGATATTTCATGGTTTGAGTAATATATTTAATATTGTACAAATTATTAATATATACTTAATCCCTCAGCCCTCATAATTGTATAATCCTGATTAAATCACAATTACCAATAAATATTGCTCATTAAATACATTTTCATCTGTAAAATAATTTAAAAATTACAAATGCAGGTTGTTTTAATAATTTTTTTTCAAAACTTGAATTTTAATTGCTTATCAAAATAAATTATGTCTAGATATGTATTTTAAATATTTTTATAATATATAACAGGATAAGTACTTATATCGTATATTCGTATATGTATTTTATAAATTTGTGTCTATAATTATTTATTTATTCAAGTTGTATTTTACACAAGTTAATGAATTACTTAAATAATTTTTTTATCATGTAATATAAATGTTATATGACACATTTATAAAAACTATACTTCTATACTTTGTGGATGAGAATCCATCAAATAGTGTTCGCCGTTCGTTAGTTGGTGACACCTGATATATAAGAACTATTATGTGGCATCTTGTTTTCCAGCTTTTCGACCAAGCAAAAAATGTTCTATTTACATTTATAAAATTAAAATAAAACAATTTTAAATTTCAAACATTGAAGTGTAAATATAACTCAGTCAACATTTTTTAAAATTTTATCGTGTAAAATAAAAATGATCAAATAAATAATAACTTAATTTATACTATGGTTATTTGTTTTTGAATTACAACAAAATAATACAAATATTTTATGGGTTAATATCTAATGTTGAAAAAATTTAAACACTAAACGGTCAAAAAAATTTAATGTAACTTTTCGGTAAGCTTTAATTTGTTATAGGTAAAAAAAATAATTAGGGATTTTGTGAACCATTTTTAAGTTTTTTTGCAAGGTGATACATTTATAAAAGACCAAAATTAAAAAAATAAATAATTTTAAATGTTTATAAATAGGTCAAAAAGAATAAAAATATTTTGAAAATTATACTATTACACAGTATTATCTATTGACAAAAAAACTACATATATTATTTTATCATTATATAAAAATTTGATAAAAAATTAAAGTGCCTACTGTTTTATTCGCTTTTGAGCTACTTATAAAAACAAAGTAGGTTTTGGTAATAATTGAATTTACATAGAAATTTTGATTTTTCATTAATTTTTTTCCAATTAATTTAAAAATGAAAAATTAGTAATTTTTAACAAATTTGTAAAAATTATTAAGATTTATAAAACCCAACTTAATAAACAAATTAACAGTTTATTGAATCTAGTTGTTCTTCTAGAAAAGTATAAAATTGTATTTAATGAAACTTATAGGGTATAGCAATTATATCTATTACCATCAAGTGCAGATTGCGAGAGATTGAGAGAACATTTTCATATCCAGGAGTCAGGAGATTAAAAAGCTACATGATAAATCGATTGGTTAACTTTTTCTGTATTTATTTTTTGAAAAAATTTCTAAAAATTCGACTTGGAAGACTGTTGAAATAATTTCCTAAGACTACAGAAATAAAAAAAATATATACTAATTTAAATTTTTAAGTATATTCCTAATTTATACTAATTATATTATAGTAGGTAGGTATGAATGTATGAATTATACAGTATTTCCTAAGAGTCCCGTATCACCCCTAATATCTTCGTGGAAAATCAATATATTTAAACGCGGTTTTTTTTACAGTATCAACTACCAAGTATGGAAATTCTGATTGAATGGCTTAAATTCAATTTTTTTAAACAAAAATTCAAAAATTGTCAAAACATTTTTTGCATTTAAGATTTAAAAATTTTTAAGATAGCCATTTTGTTGAACATATTTTTTAAAACAGTTAAAAAAAATATATTAAAATTGAATAAAAATTGACCAAGTTAGAGCAAGTTATGTTTTTAAATAATTGTAATAAAAAAAATATTTATTGTTTCACATTACAATTATAAAATATCTATTTTAGGATGACAATACTTTTACATACATAATTAAAGTTTAATTTGAATGGAAATAAAAATAACCGTGTTTTACCCATGAAGAATAAAGATATCTTTATTCTTCATGGTTTTATCTTAACTTTATATATATATCCCTAATATATATTAGGGGCATGGATTGTTATATTCAATTTTGATTTAAATTTTTTATAGAAATGTATGAATAAAATTATTATTCTTTTATTTTCATAAGGTGTCATGAATTTATGTCATTATATAGGTATTCATTATTATGGCAATTAAAAGAAAGCTTTCCATTTGCCTGTATCAACTGAGAAGTTATTTGTTTATTATGGACAAAAACTATTGACACACATAGGAATATTTTCTAGCTATGTTCTTATCAAGAGTTCTTATTGTTCTCAAGCTAGGCTGGTACAGGAAAGTATTGGTTCATTATGGCATCTTGATGTTTTTGTTAAGATAGGACTGAAGACTGTAAATGTTTAATACGAGGTAACGCATGGTGGTAGCTATAATAACTGAATATTGAAATGTGACATTTTGATCTAGGACCAAGGTATCTCACAGAGGTATTTACTTCTTTGTAGTTTGACATTAACTATTTGACTGTTTGAGATCAAGGGATTGTGAGTTTGTGATGACTATTGGTAAAATTCAGTTGTATTTAAGATCATTTTTTGATCAAATAATTGATGTTTGTTGATCAAGCGAGTCACTGGCTGTCAATCAAAAACAGAATAGTTTACCAACTTGTCATACATAGCATGTTGCTCTCATTGTTACTGTAATATCATATCCTTCTAATTAATCACAATTTGAATTCAATCTTAATTTGTGTTAGTTATTACTAATATATATTCTTAGACTTGACGCTGGGATTTAAAACACAGATCTTCTACTAAATGATTACCAAATAACTAAAAGCTATAAATTTCAAACTGGTTGATGTATTTTCCTTGTGTAACTAGGATGCCAGGTAGAATGTTAGTGAAAATTTGATGAATTTATGGATTTTGAAGTTTTATATTTTATCAGTATCAAGCTCATTTGTCATAAATAATACATAAATAAAATATTAACTTTCACATTGCATATTTGTTCAACAATATAATATTTTATTCAAGCAATTTAACAAATTAAAATAATATATATTACACATCAAGCAAAATATAGTATAGGTACTGACAAGTACATACAACATTGAGAAAATACGCATAAAGGCATAAATAAACACAGTAAATACATTCACATGTTATTAAACATATTTAAGTTATAAATAAATATCAACCTATGTATTGTTCATAAAAAATAAACCATTTAAACATTAAAATATTATTTGAATTATTTCTAAACATATTTAATCTACATTATTTAAACACCTACTGAAGACCAAGTATTATTATTATTTATAAAGCACTAAATCATATACATAAATAATGAGGTTAAATTTTTATTTTGACTTTTTAATTTCAATATATGCTTTGGAGTTATAAAATTTTAATGATAAATAATTTAATAAAATTAAACATAATACTATGTTTTAGAGAAACATACTAATTATGAGAAACTATAAGAACTAAAATAAAAAATAATTTTATTAATGAAGTACATAAATACATATATAGTTATCAGACTTATACAATAATTATATAATTTGGTAAAAAAAATTTTTAACAAAAATAAAACAAAAAATATTTAGAAAAACTATTCATATAGCACAATTATGAAAAACAATATAGGTGTGTGAATTATTAATTGTTTATTATAAATTAATAATAGTAGTATGATTTAAAATAAAATCAATGTTTAACGGTTTAATAAAAACTAAAAAAAAAAAATAAATTAAATGTTTATTATTACTATAAGTGAATATTATAAATAATTTTCAACGGCAAAAATATCATATGATCAGTCTCAATTTTTAAGCAAATTAAATATATTCAGATAAAATAAATATAAGAAATTGTAAAGTATTAAATCTCATAAAAAAATAAAATAATTATCACAAAATATAATTTTATTTATGTAAGTTAATGGAAAAAAAAAAAAAAGAAACAATTAGATTCTATAAACAAAATCATATAGGATAGAAATAATTGATATTTATTAAAAAAATTTAATACTTTTGGAGTGGTCTATGTGAAAAAAATAAAACATTGTTCTAAATATTACTTAGTGTTAATTCAAAATTAACTTAATGTTAAAGTAATTCACATTTTAATATGCTGACATGTTAAATATTTAAATACAGTTTGTATTATCATCATCATCAATAATATCTATGTAAATCAGCCTAATATTTAACTATGTAAAATTATTTGGAATGATAACTTGAAAACTATTAATTCCCCTATATAATGATGATTTTCAGTCCTTACATTATTAAAATTATAAATATTTATAAATAGATTAATTAACTACATCACATACAATAATCATAATTCGTAAATCTTAGTTTCATAACAGCAATTATAATACTCAATGCATTTAATATGAAATTATCCTGTTGTTCCAAGAAAATTCATGACAATTCAAATCCAGTATTTGATGAAATTGCATACCTAAGTTTGTCTCTAAGGATACTTTTTTTCTGATAGTTTGGGAGTTTGAGTAAGTTAAAACATGTAGAAGCTGAAGGTAATCTAAGATTTGGATCTTTTTTACGAATAGTGAAGAATCCTCGAATAACACTAACTAGAAATAAGAAAATAATAATTGTAAAGTATGAATGAAAAAAAAAATTACTTTTAAGAAGGTAAAATTGTATTCACCAAGAGTGTCACCAAAATCTTCATCGTCCGCTACTTGGACACATCTTATGGAAAATGGTGGTTCCAAGTATGCAAATCCAAGTAAAGGTGGTTTTGAACAACTTGTTACAAACTGCAAGGTAAATTAAAACATTTACTTTCAACTTAGTTTAAATGTATTTATAAATTAAGAATAACACATACTTTTAGGAAAAGTGATCTTTCTTTTTCTGTGAAGTCTTTTTGAAGAACTTCCCACAGCCATAGAATCACACGATGAGAGTCATGAAATCCTCCATAATATTGTGTAGTTCTTCGAAGATCAAGTAAATCAATAGGAGCGTTGTCTCCAGATATTAGTTTTTGAAGCTAATAACAAAAAATAAATTGATTAAAATTTAAATAATTTAAATAAATAAAAATTGTTTACTTCAGGAGTAGAAAATAGTGATAACCATTCAGGATTTATAACATATTTAAAACCTTTGATAAAAGCTGCTGTTTGTGCTTTGATCTGTGTATGCATAACATAATGTGCCATTAAATGTACATAATTAATCCTGAAATCATTAATTACAATAATTAGTATTATGATTCATAATAATTTATAAATAAATAGTTTATCAATAAGTTAATAAGTAAATAGTTAAAAGATAATATTTCAAAAAGTTTTTTCTACTTGTTACTTTTACTTTTTTGTAGATAAATAATACAATATCAAAATATTTAACTATATTATTGATTTTCTGCAATTTAAATGTTTGTATGTAACTTATGTATTGGGTGATTCTTTTAGCAGTTAAAATTTATTATCTTAGAAAGTATTTTTTTAAATTTAATTTGAAGTCATTTATATTTTTTATAAGGATAATATGTATTACATTTTTATTTTGTGCATCAAGACAGAATATATTTAAAACATTATGTATAAAAATTAACTATAAATTGGCAAATTAGAAGAAAGCATTTTATAGGGTGCACTAGGGACGAACAAGGACACATACTTAGCTATTCTAACCTTAAAATATTTATAATTTACAAGATATTAAGTTATAATTAATTATTCATTTACGGTTAATTTTGTAAGAATTAAAGTTCTCAAAAAAAAAAAAAATAATAATTTGTTTAAGAATATGAAATAAAAATGTAAGTAATATAAAAAGGCAAAACTTAAAAATGGAAATAAATTTATTTTCTTAAAAATAACTTTAAATCATGTAGAAAAAATGTTTTATAAGTGTTTGTACGTTTTTATATAATAAGTCTTAACTGATTAAAGAATAAAACTGCGTGGAAATAAACTATCTATCTAAAATCATGGCATGATAATTAAAAATGTATATACATATCATACAATTCATAATATTAATATACATGTAATACAAATACATAGTATTAAACAAGTTTACTATAAAATAAGTAAAAATGTTATTACTTGTTTTGATTAGTAACTGATATGACTCTTCCACCAGGTATAAGATCATGAGTAGTCAATTGACCAAGGTGATTATCAACCACTGAGAAAGTCAAGTCTAATTCTGAAACATCACCCTCATAATGTTTGACAGATGTTAAATTTCGATACAAGTCATTGTCTAATGAAGGCAACTCATCCATTGAACTATATAGTAGCTCTTGAGTTTGTCCTAATAATTGACTCAAAAAGAATGATGCAAATGGAACATCAACTACAATACCCTATAAAAATAATACAAATTCCATTTTATCCAAAATTAATTAATTTAAATGGATTATTAAAATAATTACCTCATAAACAGCTTTACCCAAAATGCGGCCAACAAATTCAAATAAGTTCAGATGGTTTTCTTGAATATGTGATGAAGGTGATGGATATAATCGTTGTTCATCTGTAGTACGAAATAAATTTAATGATGGATCAAATACTCTTTTTATAGTTTCTTCAAGAAATTCTGTAAATATCAATTTATTATCATCTAAATTACTAAATATAAAATTTTTGAAAATAGACCTTTAAATACACCATCTTGATCAATTCCTGCTTCGTCTAATCCCTGTTCATTTATAAACTTTACTCTAATTACACCTTTGAAGCGTTTCAGTGGTAATTCAGATATATATGTATAACCATCTTCAATTATTCGATTCCTTCACATTTATTGTAAAATATTTAATTTGCATTTTTTAATTATTTTATTAAATTAATTTTACCTCCGTATAGTGATGATTGGTGGTATAAAATTGTCGTTATCATGTAATTCATGTACACCCAAAGCAAACTTTTCACGAGAAACATACTTTCTAAATAATCGAACACGTGTTTCATGAGAAACTATATGAGGAATTTCTTGGATTAAAGTCTAAAGACAAAATATATTATAAATAGTTTTATAAAATATTAAAAAATAAATTAAGAATTAAACAAATTCAATACAGAGTATATTTTACGACCCTTTTTGAGTTCATTAAAAAATGAAGAAGTTTTAAGATCACCAATCAGCCAGTGTCCTGGAGGTGCAAAAGATCTACGGCAATCTCTGCGATAAAGAACCATTAAAAGTGTACGGCAAGATCGAAACAAGCTATAAGACGAAGAAGCTGTATCTTGAATATCTAAGATATCCAAAACAATAAATACATTTTTATTAAATTCACATTTGTAAAGAGTAAAAATAAAATTAATATCTTACTAAATAAATTCTGAGATATTCCTTTATAAAGAAATATGTTTAAAAAACTAGACATTAAAATGTAGTCACGCATAACAAATGGTTTCTGTTGCTCATACATTTCTATATCATCAAGAATACTAAAATAAATAATAAATATTTATTTTTCTTTAATCATGAATAAATTATTATCTAAAGAAACTCTTACTTACGTTATATAATGTGACATACTATCACAAAATAGTTGTAACATGCGCAATTCTCCTGAATTGCAATTTTTATCATATTCTAGAATATCCAACAGGTTTTTGAGACCACAATGAGAATCTAAAAATGCTAAAAACCTCCACAATAAATATAATGTGTCTTCATGATAACATAAACCTAAAAAGAGGAAATAGTTATAAATTTAAATGTCTAAATAATTAATGAAAAATATGTATACCAGTTATAATATCTAGTCTAAGTTGTGTAATTGTTTTAAGGCATGTAAAATATAAGTTGCAAGCAGCGACAACCTTTGTTCCATGAATTCCAGTAAGCTTATAATTTGATTGACTAGTGTTGGATAGTCTTAAATCGAATGCCTTTCTATCATGAATAATAATTATTATTTAAGGTTTTTATGTAATAATTATAATAATAAAAAACTAACTTGATTATCGCTATTGGATTGTTGGTCTTAGGCGGAGGTGATGGTACTTGTTGATTTTCAGGTATTTGTTCTAAAGCATTTATTAGATGACACCGAAGTAATTTGGAACATAAAGTTCCACACCATAATGGAATTAATTGATTTTTTAAAGGTGGTATATTAGGAGAACATTGACAATTTGAATTTGCGGTAAACCAACCAAGTTCAGGATGCCAAACACTAGATACATTTGAATGTTTTTTAACAACATTAACTCTAATAGTATCCAAAAATGTTGTTAAACCAATCTGAAAATAAAAAAATTATCTTAAGATAAATGATTAAAAGTAAAAAAAAAAATATTTATTAAAATATTAATTTTTACAAACAGTATATAAATTATAATATATAAACTATAAAAATAAATATTTTTCTTTAAAACCAAAAAATATTTGTGATGAAAAACATATTCTACTAAAACAATTTACAAATTACAGTTACTATTTATCATATTTAATAGCAAATCATATTAATATCATTTAAGTAATGTTTAAACAAAAATTGTTAATTATGTATGTCAATAAATAAGAATTACTTAATTTTAAAATAATTCATAAACATTATCTTTTATAAGAATAATCAATTCTTAATTAAATGAATTAGTTTTATAATCATATTTATAAGAGATATAACTCTACACTTAAACTTGATACTTAAAATGAAAATATTTAGTTCAATTAAACAAATATATTTTTGATTAATGATATTTAAAATTGAAACTTGGTAATAAAAGCCAATGTATAAGCATAGACAGTGTAATTAACTTTAAATTTGATGATTTAGAAGTAGTAATGATCAATGCTCTCCTTTTATTTGTCTTTCAAATCTTATATAAATCTTAACTAATCTACTTATTTTATTGATTTTGTATACAGATAATAAATGTCTTTTTTAAATAAATAAATAAACGATTTTGATAGTAAATTAATTTAACCTAATATTAATGACAAAACGAGGTTAATTTTGTTAAACACAAATTAGGTATATTGGGCCATAGAGGAAAAATTAGTACTCAGACATTCACTTAACATTTGAATAATTTATTTAAGGATGTTTGTTGATTAATTAAAAGAAAAACTTAAAAAATTGTTTATATATTATAGTATTGAATTTTTTTATTTTTGATAACATAAACAATTTTATAATTTGAATTAAAACTAACTTTGGATTTTTAAATGGTTACAAATTGCATTTGGATTTTTAAACATTAAATTATTTAAATTATTATATATTTAATATAACTGATTTAATATTTAAAAATAATATAATCTTTTTTTGTTTATTAAAGACCATAATATCACAGATGGTTTTAAATGTAATTAAATAGTTATATAACAATTATATAAATACATAAGACTAATTTTATAAAAAAATAAAAATAATATTTGAAACTTACAATAAAAACAGATGTAGAATTATTTTCAAATTGACCTGTTTCCGCACTTAATTCTGCTAAATGCACAATATTTGCAATTAACGATAAACACCAACTTGGATGTAAACAATGAAATATTTCATCACATTGATTTTGATCATTTAATAACTGCATTATCTTATCAAGTAAGTTAACAGAATTAAATGTTTCAATGATCTAAAATATATTTTTGAATACAATCATTATAATTTTATTAGAACTCTAAGAATATAATTATTAAATAAAACATATTATACTCACTTTAGTTGAGAGAGATATCAAATGCTCTACTAATAAAGGTATAGAATAAATCTTTATAACAAACAGTAGAAAAATATTTGTTGAAAAGTTGCTCAGAACCAAACATCTCCAGCAAATAGTCATTATAGCTGTCATAGCCACAGGTTTTAAATAGATTTTAATACCCAATAAACCAGTTATTAGCAAGGCCTAAAAAGATAATTTGTTAATACATTTTCAAATTAAAATATTATTTTTATTTGAATACCTGCATAGTATCAAACACATTTTTATTCAATAAGTGTGCTATCAAGTTTTCTGTTAAACGCTCTAATCCAGGTTTTAATCCTTGCAAAGAATTATTTGAATGTATGGCACACCATCTTGAAGTCGATGTAAAAGATACAATCATATGAAGTAGAGTGTGTAAAAAAGAAGAATCATCCAATGATTTTGGCTGAAGTTTAGTAAGATAACTAAGACAAATAGATAGAATTTCTTTGACATGATTTATCCAGTTAACTGCATGCTCACTAGTCAAAGCTACTGATATGTAGCTACGTTTGATTGAGTCACATTCCAGACTAAGAATTATATACCTAGAACATAAAAAAAAAAAAAAAAAAAAAAAGAGAAAAAACACATAATATTAATGGTCAATTAATAACTACATACAATATTATGAGATGTTACTTGAAAGAAATTAAAAATGAATTAAGTCAAGGATGTATTAATTATTTTAAATATATTATAAAATTTAGGAAAAAAATATGAACTAAATGAATCAAATTGAATGAATGATAGCTCTCATAACTAATATATGTTAAATATATGCATCGAACCTGCAGAGTTTCTCAAATCTATGTCTATCTTGTTTTTCATCCCAATAAATTAAAAATTTTTTCACAGATAAATAAGCAGTAATAGCAGGTTTTAAATCATTGATATTTTCAAACATTTCATCAAATTGTTGCCTATAAACACATAAAAACAAATACCTAATAATAACTTATTTACTAATAAAAATGAGCCATTAATAAAACTGACAGTATTAAGTTTCGAGTGCGTTTGCGGACTAGCCATCCTCTAACCAAAGATTGGACAAGGATAATTGATTGTTCACGTTTACGATCATTTGCTCTTTCTATTCGTGCAGCTCTTGTTTGTTCAATAAACTGCGTTTTAGAGTCACCAAACATCATTCTGATTAAATAAAGGTACAAAATTATATTATATAGTTAATTATTTATGCAATTGACTTTTGATAAATAACTTACTTAGTTACTTAATTAGATATATTTTGCGTTCATACTTTATTTCATAACTCGTACTCGGTAAGTCATAATCATAGGTAATAGCCAATAATAGGTATGATATGAATTATGAACTGTGAACTGTGAAGTTGGATGACCAAAGTTAGGTGACTCTTTCGTACGCCTAGTGATAAGAAACTATGTATGTTAGGTTGCATTCCAATACATATTTATATCATATGTTTATGAAGTCTAACCACAAGATAGCGTTATAATATTCATCGGTTGTCCATAATGGGCATAATGATCTATGTTATTCTATAACACTTGACCAGAACGAATCCAGGCCCAGGTGATCAGATGACTGTTTTTCGTAAGTTTATATTGTTTTAATTTTTTTTTTTTTTTTGGGGGGATGTTTTGGAAGGTGTCAAAGTACTTAACTAGCATATTTTTAGAGCCTGTAATATATACTATCTGCCTAGGCTACTTAAAAATTAAAATTAAAAACGTACACGTTAGCGGTAATTTAAATTCAAAACGATCGTTACTACAAGTTTGAAATTCATGAGATCTCTTTAAGAAGTCCTCTTTGGATAGTAAATTTTCCAAGCTCTACTATGTGTTTTGCCACCTTATTGCCGACAATAATCCGGTAACAATGTTTGGATTCAGTGCATTTGAAACGTAAATTTTAAAGGACTAGGAGGTCTAGGGGAGGGACAGTTAACCAGAACAATATCGTAGAGGTTGATCAAGTTGAAAATGTTGAGCTGCAATATTAGAATGCGACCTAACTAACGCGTCATTAATAGTGCAGAATTTAACTTTAGCCAGGGAATGGTCAAATGTTTCATTGAGACTAATTTGGTCTTAGTGCTAAATGCCAATTTATTAGAAAAAATCGAGAGTATCTACACTACATACAGATACATCGATACATGTACATGTCTTGTTACTATTGAATATAGTTGACATAAGAATGTCGATGTCAATTTGATATTAAATACGAGGAGACGAGAATTAAACTGTTGGTAACTTTTTTAACCCGTGTAAAAAATAAACAAGTTTCAAAGAGGAATTATTTATTTTTCAGAGACAGCAATTATTTATTGAGTATACATTTTTCTAAATTTTTATTTTAATTTTTAATTTTTTTAACTACAGAATCGTCATTTACAATAATTTTAGTGATGGATAATATAGGACGGTGTGTACGTGTACCTACTGAAATATGAAACGTACTCATGAGTTTCAAGCTTTTCGATGTATCGATAAAATAGTTAATAAAAAAATAAATAGTTGAAAATAGTTATTTTTATTGTTAATACATTTATTGTGGTGTTGGGTATACATACGTACATTATTGCCGCGTAACCAATTTGCGTCGTAGACTTGTGGAGTGTGGTGGGTAACAAGGCATATTCGTATGTAGTCAAATTAATGTAACGAGGTATTCAAATATTTAATATAGCAAGTCCGATACAATTGATACAAAGGCACTAATCAGAAATCTTGTCAAGTAGAGGCTTATCTTATCCCAGGACAAACCATACCACCAAATATATCTAACAGACCAAATATCCGCGCGTAGAATATTGCGTTTCTTACAAACAGACATCGGTTGACGGTTCGATATTTAACGCGCAAGAAAATGAACACTGCCTATTGGGATGTCACTCTACACCATGGTCTTAGAAGACCGAGCTCTACACATTAGTACTGTAACCAGTGTAACTGTTGGACGTCAATCGCTTCAGACGGTATAAGTGCACACACGTCATCTGCGGTCGGTACGGCATTCAATTCAGACGGATTGTTGAAAACTCATTTTTTCAATTTCAAGTCCAACTTATTTAAAACGTAAATTAGATCTACCTAATGGTTAGTCACAGATGCTACTTTTGACTCCTCAACCTGCCAAGATGGTTTCATTTGGCTAGAATATACACAGTTAAATGTCGAAAAAAGGAGTGACTCACACTCAGATAATGGTCTAATCAAAGTTCAACCTAAAATTGAATTTTACCTTTTAAAGGTAAGGCGATATCAATTGATTGCTTACGAGTTACACCGGCAGAAACGGCAATCTGTTGACAAAGAGCAAAAACCGTACGCGCTATAAAGGGGTCGTCGTGGTACACACAGCGGTGCCCCGATCGACCTGCTTGCGGACAAGGTAGTTGCGAGGGCCTGAACGCCGGGTTCAAACCTTGTACCACGGGACTCGGAGTAAGCTCCGTCGAGTCGGCTTGCTAATAGCGCCTCGACGCTCCGGGGGTGCTGGACCCGAGGCGCACGACCGCGTGGACTCACCGAGACGCCTAATATATATTGGAATGCAACTTAGTTTACAGGGTTTATTATCACTTATACGAAAAACGGGTAAGCCAACTTCACAACCATCAATAATTGAAGATCATAACAAATAAACCGATTAAACTTTTATAAAAAAAAGTTGTACTAAGCTAATTATACTAATATATTGTGTGAATTTTAAATTTCGATTCAAAAATCTGGAGTAATAAAATTGTGAGAAAATTACACTCATTACAGAGGTTTAAAAATAAAAAATTATTATTATCATTGCTATGATAATAAACCGGTTATGTTGGTAATGGTATTTAGGTTATGTTAACGCTTATTGTAATGTTATCAACTCAAGAATAATATTATAATATTGAACGTTTTTAAAGAAAGTTTTACTTATTAGTTATATGTAATTTTTTACAGTTTTATTTCATCAAGAATTTAAAGTTATAATAGTTATTTTTTACCAAAAAACGGCTCATCATGGAAACCTATGATGTTATTGTTAACCAGCCGGTTGTCATAGACAATGTAAGTCCTCGTCATCATTATATGATTTATGCATAATATTTTATACAACTATGAAAGCATGAACATTTTATAAATCATTTTTCGACCTACGTATTTTTTGTATAAGTAACAGAAAACGTGTGTTATTATTTTGCTTCTTCTGTAATTGAATTTAAGTTGTTTGGAAAATTTCATTTTTGATCTTTTGTATGATTTATTATTAGAGTTTTATTAGTAATTTATTATTAGTGTTTTATATTCTATAAAACATTTTTTTAACTCAATTTTATTTAAAATAATTACTCTATATGAAATTATTTAATATTAAATTGATATTTTCATGTTTGTGTAAAAGCTTTTTGTAATTATCTAGTATTATTTTAATTATCACCAATTAGGTTTAAGCTTATTGACATAATAAGCCATGTACACCTATATAATATGAAACTTTACTTGGACATAATATTACATTAGATTACATTTTAACATTTAACTATTAAGTATATGTATAATTTATTACCAAAGAACTAAATTTAAATTTTTTTTAAAAGATTAGGTATGTCTAACTTTTTGTTAAGTATGATTATATTATTTTCAGGTGTTATACCTATCAAGATTAAATAAGTTTTTGAATAAATTATTAACTAAATGAAAATCAGGCTTACATTTATTTTTAGATATATTCAATTATACTTTTAAACTAAATTATGTTTAGATCAAAGACAATTTAATCAGATTTATATCTATAGATTTCAAAAAGTTTATTAAAATATACTCATTTTTTAAATTAAATTTGTTATTAAATAAAAACGCATATTTATTTATATTTTATAATTGTATGTATGTTCATTTGTTTTTTTTTTATTCTGAGCCTTTTTAATTTAAGTAGGATTCATATATTGCATGATTAATTATAGCAATTCATTCAACACTTAAATAATTGTTTTGGTTAGAAATTTTTATTTAACAGATGTCTCTAAAAATGTTTATTTTAAGAAACTTGAATGACTTAAAAGTTGAATAATACATTTACCTTGTATTAAGTTTTAAAGTTTTTACAGTTATATATTTTTTATAAAGTACAAAATATATAACTATTCATGGTTTTAAGATTAGGATTATTTTACTGTAAATAAATGCCTTAAGTTATGTTTTATTAAATAAGTTTATGGACTTAATATTTATTACATTATTTTTCCTATTTTGTTTTATAAAACTTATTTCAAAATTTTTAATTAAATTAAATTAATATAAATGTTATTTTTATATTTTAGTAAATATTTGACTTATATATTATGTATAACAAACTTTTAATGATTCTTATAATTTATTTTTTATATTTATGTTAAATAAAACTAAAAATTATTGATTAAGTTTTAATTTGTATAAAGTTTTAAAGGTTTACTAAATTTATAAACTGACTTTGAGTAGTTATTTAACTCAATTTTGGATTATTTGTACTTATAAATTGTATTTTTGTAGGGATCGGGTGCTATTAAAGCTGGATTTGCCGGGGAACAAACACCAAAATGTTGTTTTCCAAATTAGTATGTATTATACAACATAGAATTATAATTGTACACACAATAGAATAATATATGTAGACTGTAGACAAATATAAATGAATATTGTTTTATAGTATTGGACGACCAAAGCATGTTAGAGTTATGGCTGGTGCTTTAGAAGGAGATACGTTTATTGGACCAAAAGCAGAAGAACATCGTGGTTTGCTTTATATCAAATATCCTATAGAACACGGTATTGTAACTGATTGGAATGATATGGAAAGAATATGGCAATATATATATGGAAGTGATCAACTTCAAACATTTTCTGAAGAACATCCTGTGCTATTAACTGAAGCTCCTTTAAACCCACGACGAAATCGTGAAAAAGCTGCAGAAATATTTTTTGAAACTTTCAATGTTCCTGCATTTTATGTGTCAATTCAAGCAGTTCTTAGTTTGTATATAACAGCAAATGTTAACAAAATAACTGAATATTAAAATTACATTTTTTTTATTTATAGATACGCTACTGGTCGTACCACTGGAGTTGTTTTAGATTCTGGTGATGGAATTACTCACACTGTTCCAATTTATGAAGGTTTTGCTATGAAACATGGTATTATACGATTAGATTTAGCTGGCCGAGATATATCACGCTATCTTAAGTAATTAATTATATCTTTGTAATTAAAATTAAAATATTATGTATAATATTTTAATTTTGTACTTAGGTTATTACTAAGAAAAGAAGGTTTGAATTTTTCAACATCTGCAGAATTTGAAGTAGTTAGAGCAATCAAAGAAAAAGCTTGTTATGTAGCTCTTAGTCCAGTTAAAGAAGAATCCTCTGA